GAAACTGACAGTCTGATACCTTCAGAAATTTAAAGACGGTGTGAAACATTGTCGTCATATATTCATGCCTTCTTGAATGACTAGAAACTGTCTCATAACGGAATTCTACACCAAGTTTCATAGATCCAGTTGTCAAGTAGCAGTGTATACAAGTACTGTTCTAGCCTAAAACCAGTGAACTGAACAATCGTAAAAGATTACCCAACAGGAAGATAGAGGTGATGATCATTCTAAGGACTTCAGCAGAATGGAAAATGTGATGTATGAAAGAAGAGTGTAAGTGGAATAAAAGGGAATGAATGTATAGAATAGAAGTCTATATGTTGTGATTGTCATATTATAAGTTAATCTTATTATGTTCATCTTTAATATAATATATGTTGTATGGATTATATATGTTTTATAGGTTCTGTATGTGCTATATGTTTTATATGTTTGTTTCATGTATATTATTTGGTTTTGAATTGATAAGTTTATTCATTGAATTTCATTCACACAATTTTTATTTGTGTATTTTTCTTATTTATTTTGATTTGTAACTTTTGTGTTGATATCCATGATGAGTAATTTATCTAAATTTATTTTTCTTATTTATTTTGATTTGTAATTATTGTGTTGGTATCTATGATGAGTAATTTATCGGTATTTATTTTTCTTATTTATTTTGATTTGTAACTATTGAGGTGGTATTTATAAAAGGGAAATAATTTTGAGTTTGAAAATTATTTCATGTATATTTTGCTTATTTATTTCGATTTGTAAATTTTATTGTTTTGTTGCAATGAATATAGTGTAAAATTATTTGCGTGACAACCCATGTGGATGTTACAAATATATTTTCTTTTCTTTTCTTTGCTAAAGATTTTTAGTTAGATTACATAAGTAATGTTAATTGTTTGACTTTCAATTATTTTTGTTTTAGTATTCTCAAATTGCAATAATAATATTCTTCAGTTTTTGAAACTTAATTTGCAATCCATTACATTTATAAAAAGTTTCAATGAGTTTAATATTAACTGAGTGTCGTATGGGCACTAAATGTAATGGTTAAAGTATATGTTAGACAATAGTGCATTATGAGTAGATAGTTTTGTAAACTAGTAGACTTTAAAATAACTGACAATTTAGTTTGGCAGTAAAATGAACTTATTTTTATTTTTTTTTCCTCTTTAAATTGTTTATTTTGCTTTCTAAAATTGATGATGGACAGTTTAAATGAAATTTAGATTGTACTTTTACAAGGGCACTCACATGGAGAGTTAATGATGGTGTAACTAGTATCGCATATATGGAGACTACATTTGAGGAGTAGCACTATCCTTGGAGGATGGGAGTGTGTCCAACTGGCCACAGATTTGTTTACTGCCTATTTTGCACTGTGGGTCATATGGGGTGATTTGTGTCTTGGCAGGTACTGCGGATTCGCGGACACATTATACGACTGTAGGTCGGGGAGTCAGGTCATGACTCCTTTTCACAACCATGGACAAGCCTTATGGAGATAGTCCATGACGCCCACTGTTATAAATCACGGTGTCGTTGGTTAAACGGCTTGGGAGTGTATACAGTGGCGTCTTACTTGCACAGTAAGTGAAGTAAGGTGTGATTGGGTCCCGGACGATTTGGGTGTCCACCCAAATTATTATTTATATCATTACCCATATGATTTGAAGGTGTAATGGAGTAGTGACGTATTTGTGTCAAGGCTGATACCATTTCTACCCATTAGGGAGGAGCTTACCATTGAATGTATATACCCATTAAATATGTGCCAGATAGTTTGTCCTTAGGTGATTGACCCAAAGTACATGACATATTTTTTTTTTTTTTAGGTAACTAAATATTGACGATAAAATTTAAAAACATGACTGTACAAATGACCAGGCCATGGCAGGCCATGCTTTGCTGATACTTGACTTTGTCAGGAAGTATCAGTTCAGAGGAAGGGTGAATGTCACAACCCTATTAAGTACAGTCAGTGTACCACACCGTAAGGTTGTGCACCCAGGGTTGACACAGAGGTCAGGGCCGTCACTGGTCGAGTCCGTTCTGTGATCGCACGGCGAAACCAGCGCTCAGGATAAAGCAAGAAAGCTTGAAACTGTGTTTTAGTAACACGATGACTGCTTCTGGGACTGAGCTGGTGAACGGGGTCAAGAGACACGAGGGAGAAGGAAGAGGGACATTCGTGTGTGCGTCAGTCAGGAAGAGAGGACGTTGAGTGACTGGATAGTTTATGTTATAGTATTAAAGTTAGGAGAATATTTCTGTTAGTGACTGGATAGTTTATGTACAGTTTTGTGTTAGGATAGGATAGTTCTCTTGTGTAGAGTATTTATGTATATGTGCTGTGAGAGAGTGGCTAACCTGGACACTCTGACCCTGCACTAGGACAGAGACTGTGACAGTTTGATTTGGTGTCAGCGTGGCGATAGAAGAGAGCGTATCCTGCCGGATTGTGGTTTGTACACCAGAGTATTGCCCTGTCGCACGTACTGGGGGACGGGGCGATTGTAAAGCCCGTCCAGCCAGAGGGTCCAGGCAATAGGTGGCCACACGGCGGGAAGTCAACTGTCTATGTATTACCTGTACTTCCAATAAAGATTGTCGTGTGTGCTCTGTGTGCGTTCGGGTTCAGTGTGTGTTGTAGGTTAGTCTGTCTGTCATAGGCCTAGTTAGCGAGCCAACGGACCGGCAAGGGTCATACCAGAGTTTTGTGACATGCTGATTATTGAACTGTAACAATGATTTGCTTAATTCAGTAGTGACTGATGATGATCTATTGACCTGTAACAATGATTTGCTTCATTCAGCAGTGACTGATGCTAGATCTATTGAACTGTAAACAATGATTTGACATATCATTCAGTAGTGGACTGATGACTGATCTATTGACCTGTAAACAATGATTTGCTTCATTCAGCAGTGACTGATGCTGATTATTGAACCTGTAACTATGATTTGCTTTTACATCGCAGTGACTGATGTTAATCTATTGAACTGTAACAATGATTTGCTTCATTCAGCAGTGACTTGATTCTGATCTATTGAACTGTAACACTGATTTGCTTTCATCTCAAGCAGTGACCTGATGCTGATCTATTGAACTGTAACAATTAGTTTGCGTCATTCAGCAGTGACTTGATGCTGATCTATTGAACTGTACACACTGACTTTTGCTTCATTCAGGCAGTGACTGATGCTGATCTATTGAACTTGTAACATGATTTGCTTCATTCAGTCAGTGACTGATCTGATCTATCTGGACGTCTGGAACAAAGATCTGACTCATGTAACAGTAATTGACACTGACCGACTGAACTGTAACAAAATTTGCTGCATAATCAGCAGTGATCGATTACTTAGTTTATTGAATGTAACAAAGATTTGCTTTGTTCAGCACATGACTGATAACTGAATTATTGAACTGAATGAGATGATAGTTAGAACTAAATGACATTACACTTGGAATCTTCTTCTTCGCTTATGGCTNTGTTGTAGGTTAGTCTGTCTGTCATAGGCCTAGTTAGCGAGCCACGGACCGGCAAGGTCATACCAGAGGTTTGTGACATGCTGATTATTGAACTGTAACAATGATTTGCTTAATTCAGTAGTGACTGATGATGATCTATTGACCTGTAACAATGATTTGCTTCATTCAGCAGTGACTGATGCTGATCTATTGAACTGTAACAATGATTTGCTTCATTCAGTAGTGACTGATGCTGATCTATTGACCTGTAACAATGATTTGCTTCATTCAGCAGTGACTGATGCTGATTATTGACCTGTAACAATGATTTGCTTCATTCAGCAGTGACTGATGTTAATCTATTGAACTGTAACAATGATTTGCTTCATTCAGCAGTGACTGATGCTGATCTATTGAACTGTAACAATGATTTGCTTCATTCAGCAGTGACTGATGCTGATCTATTGAACTGTAACAATGATTTGCTTCATTCAGCAGTGACTGATGCTGATCTATTGAACTGTAACAATGATTTGCTTCATTCAGCAGTGACTGATGCTGATCTATTGAACTGTAACAATGATTTGCTTCATTCAGCAGTGACTGATGCTGATCTATTGACCTGTAACAAAGATCTGACTCATTAACAGTAATTGACACTGACCGACTGAACTGTAACAAAAATTTGCTTCATTCAGCAGTGATCGATACTTAGTTATTGAATGTAACAAAGATTTGCTTTGTTCAGCAGTGACTGATACTGAATTATTGAACTGACTGACTGATTAGTTAGAATAAATGACATTACACTTGGGATATCTTCTTCTTCGCTTATGGCTGTAAACTCCAATGACAAGTTCTGGTTGTTTGTCCCTTTCTGGACTTTAGTCTTGTTCCAGAACCTGAGTCTTGTGTGCACATCTGTGTTACAGATCTGGCTTATCTGTATGCAGACTGTTGGTTCCTCGTATCTTGATACTGCATCACTTCTCTGATGTCATCCATCATCCCATTCTAGGTTTATTTACGGTCATGTGTTCCACATCATCCTGGCTGATCCTGACATTATTTCTATGTCATCAATTGTCCCCTTCTAAGCTTTTTTAATAACCCGGGGAACTTATGGTGCCTTATGCAGTATGGCATGTACAACTACTGGCTTGAAGCTGCTGCTTCCACTGATGATGAGCTGAATTTTTACTGGTGAATTGTTTGTACTGAAACTTTTTACGACCGCCTTATGTACTTAATGCATGTGTATGTTATTGGCATGACTGGGATTGCAGCCTGTTTCCATTTTTTTCATAATAGACTTTTAGGATGTAGATGGGAATTCTGTGTAGTTTTCTTTGGCAGAGGAATGGAGCAATTAAGGGGGGACCCATCTGCAGTGAAGTGGGATATGCGACTAACTAACTAACTAACTAACTAACTAACTAACTAACTAACTAACTAACTAACTAACTAACTAACTAACTAACTAACTAACTAACTAACTAACTAACTAACTAACTAACTATTAACTTACTGAACAGCCACAAGGCCATCAGCAGTATCACTGTCACAGCTGGTAATGCTCGGGTTGTTCCGTATGCCCAGGCCACTGAGTTAATCACTGCCCAGACTAAGAAGAAAGGAACTGAAACACACAAAAAAGGGAAATAATAACTTTGTCAATAATAATAACAGTGATTGCCAGGGTCCTGAGAGAAAACTAGTCTCAGAACGACAGGGTATCATCGCTTTTTATGTGGACTATGACAGAGACTGTCACTCCCGCACTGGACTTCACAATCATAGCAGACGCTGTTTTCAAAGCCAGCGACACAACTTCATTATCCCCAGGGACTGATGGTTGCCTGCTACTGATCCCATGGTTAATTATGAAAGCCTCTGTGATAATCTTGATAGCTACCAATTGTCAGTGTTATGTATACTCAACTTAGCTGTATGGTGCAGAGACAAGGACAAGGAACAAGCAACAAGAAAATCGAACCAAGCCTCTGGAAATAAGGATATACAGAAGAATAGGTTATATTTCACTGAAAAAGAACAATAAAATACAGAGGTTCTGGAAAGAACTGTGGGTGAAAAGAGTTACTAAACGAAATAAAACAGAAACAGTTTAAATATTTTGGCCAGATGAAAAGACATAACATTCTTCCAAACTCCATAGTGGAGGAAAAGGTCTGGCAAGAGAAAACTAGGCTGACAATGATACAAATGGGAGGACAAGACCAAGAGATGGACGAACAGCAGTCTGAGAGAGTGTACAACCAAGACAAGAGATAGTGTGTGTAGGAGATCTACTGCAGCCAACCTTCACTGTGGAGATGGCACCTGATCGGCTGACTGATAGCTATTTCTATTAAGTGTTCATGTTTAACATATTTAGTGGGTCACAACTTCATTAGATTGAATGACTAGCTCTCTTCTCTTTTGGCTTTCTTGCTCAGAAAAATCTAATGTCTGTAAAAAATAAAAAATAAAAACTAGCTGTAACCCCAAAAATCTACCCAGAATATGCGAAGGCCCAAAACATCTCACCTCAACTGTAGTGTGTGCCTCATGACTACCTTCTCCTTAACTCTTCTCCTTTGTGTTCACCAGCTGTGAACTCGTAAACTCTAGTGGAAAGGCCTGGCTATTCGTCCTCTTCTGGACTTTAGTCTTGTTCCAGAATCCGTGTGTTGTGTGCACATCCATTTTACAGATCTGGCTTTTTTTTTTTAGACTGTTGGTTTCTTGCCTCTCTGGCAGACACAGACTTTGAAAAAAGCTCCCCAATTAGTCGACTCTTACGACATGCTTGTTGGGGAGGCAGTGAACCTATTCTTGTTTCCCCCACAATAGGGCCTCAGAATCCACATGGGGATTCCTTAACTCCAAAGCATAACATTTTTTTCTGGACAAAATCAAATTCAAGGATAACTAGAGTTCGACAGGTGGGGCACTGTATTGGTAAACTAGTGTATTATTTCACTACTTAAACTCTGCTAAATATCTCTTATTCTTCCTTTTCATTCTCCCTGCCAGGGGTTTTCAGATGAGAAGATTATTATCCTCTGTGAAGTCTGTGGTGCAACATGCATCTTCCACTGTTCCATACAGCTTGGTTTCTATTGAAATGCCAACCCGTCAAACATAGGATCTCTCTGCTGCCTGTAGAGAGCACGTCTGTAGCACAGGTTCAGTATTCTGTTGACTATTAAAATATGCAATCCCATGGAGGCTGCTGCCACTGTGGAGTGTCAAGGTCTAGCTATACAGCTGGCAATATGCCACAGTCACCTAAATTAAGTATTGGCAATTTTCACCTAAGTGCATTTTCAGGGCTATTATTTGTCACTTTAGGCTACCTCACAAATTCATCAGCTAAAAACACTATGCTGGCACGAAGGACAGGTTCAGCAAGACTTAAAGATTCAAGCAACATAAGTATGTACAAGAATAAGGGTAACTGGAGTGACTGCAACAGCAATAGAGGAATATCACCGTTGTGTACTGTTGGAAACATGCTTGCCAGAACTGTTCTGAGAAGACTCTAGATCCCAGAAAACCAGGTTTACCAAGGATAACAGTATGCCTTTTGTGGGAACTGGCCTACCACTGATATGATGATATTCTCATTAAGACAGTAGCAGGAAAAATACCGTGAACAAAATCAACCACTGGATATTGCTGTTTTAAATGTTGTGTGCGTCTTGCCAAGGCATTTGATTTAGTTAGCGTAAAGGTCTGTTCAAGACTCTCAAAGAGTGGATTTCCACCTACTGTACCGAGAGTCACTGAGGTGTTCCACACAGGCATGAAAGACACAATCAATTTTGACGGTGTAACAACAGATTCTCATATTATTTGTTTTACATTCAACATCCATGAATGAAGAATGTAAAACAAATAATATGAGAATCAACACTGAAAAGACAGAAGTAATGTCAATATGAAAAAAGAAGACAGATCTAAACATAGCAATAGAATACAAAGGCATTAAACAGGCATCTGAGTTTAAATATCTGGGAACTACATTTACCGAAGATTGGAAATTGGATAAAGAAATTGACATTAGATGCAGTAAAGCAAACCAAGTATTGGGACAGCTAGCCCCCCTCTTACAGCATAAGACAATCCCAATCAGCACAAAGAGACATCTTATTCAAAGCATATTTATTCCAACTCAGACATGGTCACTCACAACAAACCATAAAAGAAAATTAGTAACCACGGAAATGAGATATCTGAGAAGGGCTGTAGGAGTGACCATAAGAGATAAGATCAGGAATGAGATCATAAGAGAACAAGTCGGCACAGAACCAATTCTGGATTACATACAAAGACAGCAAGTGAAATGGTTTGCCCACTTAGAGAGAATGCCTTGTGACACCATACCATACAAAGCATACATGGAAAGAGAAGAAGGACGTAGAGCACGGGGTAGACCAAGAACAAGATGGAAGGATAACATCAGAGAAACTCTACAACAGCTCGATGTGCCTATGGTCGAGGCAGCCAGAAGAGCTAGAAACAGAACCTTATATCTTCCTCGACACCCACAGCGGTAAAAGAGGAAGTGAAGAAGAAGAAGAAGAACAGATGGGTTTTTAAGCAAGAATGGAGTAAAGCAGGAATGTGTACTTCCTCCCAGCTTCTTTGAAATATATGGCTTTATTACAAAAGCATGAAAGAAACATCAACAGGTGTGGCAGAATAAATGAAGCCCTAATGTTGAATAAATTTTGCACCAGTTGGTCAGAAAAGGTCGTCGTAGGCATTCAGTGAATGCCGTCTGCAAAAAAAGGATTGTGGTTTCTCGCTTAACTAGGTATTTACAAAGTCCATGATAATGCTTCCTGCATAATCTTTGCAGCATGCGGACAAGCATTATCATGCAACAAAATCAAACTACGAGAAAGTATCCTAGGACATCCCATCCAAAACATTCATATCAACTTTGTCAGTCGTGTCTTTGACACACATTTGTTACCGTTAGCTGCCTGCATTTTTCAATGAATGTCCACTGGTCAACATCAATCAAATGAAAGAAACTGAATCAACGCTCTTCCTGTTAGGGTTCTGGAGCCTCATTTTGGGGTTAAGAAGAATAGATCCACCCACTGCCTCCCCTAAAAGCATGTCGTAAGAGTCGACTTACTGGGGACTTCCTTCGAAGTTTGAATGCATTTGCCTGTGAAGCGAGGAACCAACAGTATGCACACAAATAAGCCAGATCTGTAAAACATATGTGCACATGGGACTAGAGGTCGACGAACAGCAAGAACTTTCCGACAGAGTTTACAGCTGGTAACCAAGAAAAAGAAAAATCACCACTCTTAAAGCTTCTTTGGAGTGATGTCAGATCAACCTAGCCATTTTCTCAACCACTGGAAACAGAACCTTTGTGTTGTGGGACTATAAGCATGCGCCTTTTATTCACTGATCTGTACATGACTACGACACGACCATATTCAATGCATACAATTACACGCATCCTGGCATAAATGGGTGGGTTTTTTCTTCTAAATACTCCTTTTACTTATCACTCCTTTTGAAATATGCCTTTAAAGATCAGTAGGGTGGTGTATTCCTCCATTCTCGATCTGAAGGAGCCTCTACAATGCCTGTAGTCTGAAAGCTAAAACCTGGATTTGATTGGTACTTATCAGACAGCAGCTCTTTGCAGATGCTGCAATTACCACTCACTCAGAGGAGAAACTGCCATGTTTACTATCTGCACTTGCTCATGCAGGTTGTGATTTTGAATTACCAGTTAGTAAAAAGAATAATAATTATGACGCAGGGGGCTAATGATAACCCTGCAGTCTACATTGATCGTGAAGAACTGGAGACATTTACCATTTGTATACGTGGGATCCACAGTAAAATAAATCACTGGACCAAGAAATCAGGATAAGTAAGGCAGCGACAACGAGTAGATTACCAGAAAACAAAACAACCCCCCCCCCCCCAAAAAAAAAAACCACAGATAAGGCAGGCATAAGCCACTTACGGGCAAACAATGCTGATGTCAGGTTAATGTTCCACACCCAGTTGTCCCCTCCCATCTTCTTGTACATGTTTGCTGCCACATAGCCACTGATGCCTATTGTATGGGGGAAAACAGAAACATGAACATAAGCTTCATACAAGATAAGAGACACAAACATAACCTTTATTCATGATAGAGACACAAACATAACCTCCATACATGATACAGACACAAACATAACATTCATACATGATACAGACACAAACATAACCTTCATACATGATACAGATACAAACATAAACTTCATACATGATAGACACAAACATAAGCTTCATACATGACAGAGACACAAACATAACCTTCATACATGATACAGACACAAACATAACCTTCATATATGATACAGACACAAACATAACCTTCATACTTGATACAGACACAAACATAACCTTCATACATGACAGAGACACAAACATAACCTTCATACATGATACAGACACAAACATAACCTTCATACATGATACAGACACAAACAACCTTCATACATGATAGAGACACAAACAACCTTCATACATGATACAGACACAAACATAACCTTCATACATGATAGAGACACAAACATAACCTTCATACATGATACAGGCACAAACATAACCTTCATACATGATACAGACACAAACATTACCTTCATACATGATAGAGACACAAACAACCTTCATACATGATAGAATCACAAACATAACCTTCATACATGATAGAATCACAAACATAACCTTCATACATGATACAGAAACAAACATAAGCTTCATACATGATACAGAAACAAACATAACCTTCATACATGAATCAGAAACAAACATAAGCTTCATACATGATACAGAAACAAACATAACCTTCATACATGATACAGAAACAAACATAACCTTCATACATGATACAGACAGAAACATAACCTTCATACATGATAGAATCACAAACATAACCTTCATACATGATACAGAAACAAACATAAGCTTCATACATGATACAGAAACAAACATAAGCTTCATACATGATACAGAAACAAACATAACCTTCATACATGATACAGAAACAAACATAACCTTCATACATGATACAGAAACAAACATAAGCTTCATACATGATACAGAAACAAACATAACCTTCATACATGATACAGAAACAAACATAACCTTCATACATGATAGAGACACAAACAACCTTCATACATGATACAGAAACAAACATAACCTTCATACATGATAGAGACACAAACAACCTTCATACATGATACAGAAACAAACATAACCTTCATACATGATACAGAAACAAACATAAACTTCATACATGATACAGAAACAAACATAACCTTCATACATGATACAGAAACAAACATAACCTTCATACATGATACAGAAACAAACATAACCTTCATACATGATACAGAAACAAACATAAGCTTCATACATGATACAGAAACAAACATAACCTTCATACATGATACAGAAACAAACATAAGCTTCATACATGATACAGAAACAAACATAACCTTCATACATGATACAGAAACAAACATAACCTTCATACATGATACAGAAACAAACATAACCTTCATACATGATACAGAAACAAACATAACCTTCATACATGATACAGAAACAAACATAAGCTTCATACAGGAGAGTCACAAATATAAGCTTTGTGCAAGATGGAGACACAAACGTAAGCTTCATACATAATAGACACAAAAATAAGTTTCATACAAACATAATGTGCCTCTTGCTTGGATACCGCTGATTTTCCCCCTTCAGTCTGGTTTCAAAAAGAATATTCTGTTCGTCAATATAATAGCAACAACAAAAAATAGTTCTTTGTCAGCTCCATCATCATCATCCTGTTTGGGAGGGGGTCCTCTCCAAGGCCAAGCCATTTGCCTCGCGCTCTGAAGGTGATCGGTTTGTTTCATGGATGTGCCGTTCAGTTCACAGAGATCCCTGGGGATCATCCCGGAGCTACGGAGTTTGTGCTCTGTGCAGCATCTTGGCAGGCGGCTAAGCCCTTCTGCATAAAGGGACCGAGCAATATGGAATAAAACCTGGTGCAATGAAGTCGATCCTCCAGGCTTCAACTTTTTAACTGTCATGTTATTATTTCACATCAGGCTTCCAATCCACACCCCAATTCCAATCTTATCTTGTGGATTTTTTTTCTTCTTTTCAAAATCACAGATTGTGCAATCTATCAATATCAATAGTATCCAGTCCAGCTCCTTTGGTCTCTCCCGTCAATGTTAGGCTCAGTGTTTCTGTTAGACCTCATCTTCTAAATCCATTTTCCTCCCAATTTGGTGCCTGTTTGGTGATTATCTGCTCACTTCTTCCTAGGAGGTGGCCAATACAGTACCACCTTCTTTATCTTCTAACTTTTGGTCAATCAATCAATCAGGTGCCGGCTCCACAATGAAGGTTGGCTGCAATGGATCTCCAACAAGCCCTGTCTTTTGCCCTTGATGTACACTCACTCATACTGCTGTTCGTCCATCTCTTGATGTTATCCTCCCACTTGTAACGCTGTCTGCCTCTTGCTCGCCTACCTTGAACCTTTCCCTCTGGGATGATCTTTACAATACTGTTATGTCTTTTAATGTGGCCAAAATATTTCACTTGTCTCTTTTTTATTTCACCTAGCAACTCTCTTTTCATTCCCAATTTCCTCAGTACCTCTGTATTTGATAGCTTTTGTTTCCATGAAATACTACCTAATCTTCTGTATATCCACATCTCTAAAGAATTGATACGATTTTCCAGTTGTTTGTTCATTGTCCATGTCTCTGTGCCATACAGTTAGGTTGAGAATACATAACATTTGACAATTCTCATTTTTAATGTATTGCTTATTTCTCTTGATGTCAGTAACTTTTGCATGTTGTTGAAAATGTTTTTGGCCATCCCTAATCTTTTCTTGACTTCTGTTTCACTTCTGCCGTCACATGTTATTACTTGTCCAAGATATAAGAAATTTTTAACTTGTTCCAATTTCACCCCGTTCACTGTGATATTCATTGTTAGCTGATTATTTTCGTTGCTAAATATCATGGTTTTTGTCTTTTTCAAATTAACTTTTGATACAAGGACTGTTTAGACATTTCTCTTAATTTTTTGCCCTTCTTGAATTCATTCTATTTAATGTCCATCATATTCCCCAGGTATTTGTTTTTGAATACACTTCACTTCTGTTTCACTTCTTTCTTAAATTGTTACCTCCATGAGATTTTTTTTTAAATATTAAAATAATACTTCAAACCTGAAGCCCTTGCCAAAGAAAAAAAAATTGTATCACCTGAAAATATAAATAACAGTTGGTGCTTTATTAATATTCTACCCCAGATGATGTCACAGGACAGTCCAACATTTTAGAGGTTGGTAAGACTGGGTTTTCCGGCTTTCTGATGCTTTTAACAACCCCAAAACATATAGAACTGGCCCAAACTTCAACCCACCTACGTCCAATGAAAGAGTGCAGCCTATCTACCACCCCCTGAAATATTAGACCGTACTGTGACCTGTGGATTTCCACTGTTTGGGGTAGGATATTAATAAAGCACGTAACAGTTTACTAAAAGATACACAACATACTTGAAGTAAATGCGTAAAGCACCACAGCGGCAGCATTGATTGACCCGTGGCGGTGCACATTGAACATCCCTGCCACTGCCATCAGCAGGATGCCTGTAGCTAGTGCCAGGAACTGGCTTCCAACACCTGCAAGAGGAACACATGAGCAATAGCCGCTAACATATAAACATAAGCTTCATACAAGATAGAGACATAAACGTAAGCTTCATACAAGATAGAGACATAAACATAAGCTTCATACAAGATAGAGACATAAACATAAACTTCATACAAGATAGAGACATAAACATAAGCTTCACACAAAATAGAGACATAAACATAAGCTTCATACAAAATAGAGACAAAAACATAAGCTTCATACAAGACAGAGACATAAACATAACCTTCATACATGACAGAGACACAAACAAAACCCTCATACATGATAGAGACACAAATATAACTGGCTTTAAACAACCGAAAGAGGAACACATGAGCAATAGCTGCTAAAATCACTTGAAGCATCAGCCCATAAACACAGGGCAACAGTCACTACAAGTTAAAGTAAGGGCCCCTTTATGCCTTTACAGCATCAGGAATTTAGGGCTCGAACTATCTTGTATAAACAAATCAGCATTGGATGGGTGATATGGTCAGTAAGTACCATGGCAGATTTTTCTTCACAGCTTGTGTGGCTCTGAAGTCAACACAGCCTCGTAAATATGAGCGCTAGAAACTTTTTCAGACTATCTGCAAATTGTCTTCAATTCTGTCAGGATTTTCTGGGAACCTGCCCAAAAGAATTTGATGATTTTCTTGGAAATGTTCAATGATTTCTTCAAGATTTTCTGGGATTGTGGATCATATTCTTCAGGATTTCCAGGGCACTGTCAATAATTTTCTGGGAACTGTCAATAATTTCCAGGATTTGTTGGACATTATATGATGGCATAGAATATGTGAAAGTAGTATCTATGATGGGACTACTTTTATCTTTGACTTCCTTCACCTAACTCATACAATGGTTTATGCTGTACTAATAATTTTTCTTCATCTTCGCGTTCACCAGCTGTACACTATGGTGGAAAGTTCTGGTTGTTCGTCCACTTCTGAACTGCAGTCCTGCTCCAGAAACTGAGTGTTGCGTGTGCATCAGTTTTACAGATCTGATTCACTTTAATGCAGACTGTTGGTTCCTTGCCTCTCAGGCAGATGCACTCCGACTTCAAAGGAAGATCCCCAATTAGCCGACTCTTACGACATGTTTTTGGGTAGGCAGAGGGTCTATTCTTGTTTTCCCCACAATGGGGCCCCGGAACCCACACGGGAAGGCTACTAATAATTATATAAAGACATTTTTAAATGCTAATTAGTCCTCTTTTGGGTCCAGAGTCCCAACTCGGGAGGGGGAAGAACAGACACAATGGCCCTTAACAGGCATGTCATAAAAGGCAACTAAATAAGGATTTGTTGAAATCAAAAGTATTATGTAAAAAGGTGCAGACAGTGCAGACCAGCTTTAAACCACAACATAATGTTGAAGAAGAAGAAGAAATCTGCTAATAGAATTTTTCAAGACATACCCAAAATTGCACAGAACAGGTTCTTGTTTGGTGGGTATCTGAACACATCCGTACGGATAATTTTCCATCCATTATCATCAGAATCCAGGTCATCAGCGTCATCATCATCCTCAATGTTGTAACGAGCAAAGTCACTTCTGAGAACCCGGGTCTGAATAAAGCAAAGCAAACAGTTTTCACTGACAAAGATATCATTATCTACACAGATGGTTCTGTAGTGAGAGGGAAGAGAAGTGCTTGGGGTTTTGTTCTGAAGGCCAATTGAAAATCGTTAGTTCAGGACATCTGTTATATGATACCACGACATCTAGCATGAGAATGGAGGTGGAGACGGTCACTGCAGCTTGCCGGTGGCTAGAGAACAAGATATATACACATGTCATAATTGTAACGGGCTCTAAAAGCATGCTGAAAAAGGTGACGGCAGTAGTGCTTCAAGCAGAGTGGCAAGCTTCACTTGCAAGGTCACAGGTGGTGAGCATACTTTGGATCTTTTCTCCAGGCCATTCCGGCATTGTGGGGAATGCACAGGCAGACAGACTGGCTGGATCTGCACAGTGTGGTGAATTGATACATGACAAGGCAGATGTGGTCAGAGCCCTTTGGGAACAAGTAATGAAGTCAGAAGAGAAACTAGATAATTAAAGGCTGGAGAAAATGATGCACCTGGGTGTGACCAGATGGTTCAGCCGGCACACTACGCTCAGAGGTAAGGCGGACATACAACTAGACTACGAGTGACACCATTAGTATTGGAACTCTGCACTGGCTGCTGAGGATAGGGGACTTAGCCCATATGGGAATGCCCCAAGTGCTGTGATGTCATTCTTAACTCAACTCAACTCAGATGTCATCATGACACTTACTTGTTTTCTCTGTATTTTAAGTGAAATGAATCACATTCAGAGACATTCAATGGATACCATCCCACTGTTGAGTTCCTGGAAATGAAAGAGCTATTAAACTAGCTAAATAAGGTGCAAATAAAGAACAACATGACGTAATAGTCTCTTTATCAACAGAAGAAGAGAATAATCAAATCATTAGAAAGCTACCAAAACTGGCAAAAGATGATTACCATACAATGGACAGACCAGAGCAAGTCATTATTGTACACCTCAGAACAGGACATAATCAAATTTGAGCTACATGTTTATAAAATTTAAGATTGGTGAATCATCCATGTGTACATGTGGATTAGCACCTGAGACAACAGACCACGTTCTGCAAGACAATACAACATACCAAGGCAAAACTTTTGACCAAGAGAAACATCGTTGCAAGCCAAACTTTAGGGGGTGACTGACCAAGTTACAACTGGCAATGAAGTTCATGAATATTGAAAAAGGTTAGCTATTAAAGATGATAAAACACAGAAAATTGAAATATTTTGGTCACTTGAAACGTCATGAAAGTTTAGAGAGAACAATAATGGAGGGGTGGTATATTATATGCCTGGGAAGAGAGGAAGAGGAAGGCCAAAGAGAAGATGGGGCTAGGATGTGGCGGATGATCTCCAGATGGGTGTATCGGACGCAGGACATCTTGCTTGTGATTGAGAAGTTTCTGGAGGGTTGTTATGGGTGCAAGGTTCTGCAAAGGACATGATAGCCTGACAGTGAAGATCATACTAGAGACAACATTGCAAATATAGATATCTATTTCAAGCGAACGGAAGAAGAAGAAGAACATTCAGAAATGTAGAGACAAACAAGAGATTAAATCAAACTACTGTGTAGCCGTCTCTACGTGTGTTAAACTCTCCACCCTTGTGTTCCATTTACTAATACTTAGAGAAAAAAAAGTTTTATTATTTATCCATTACTTGAAGCAAACGTTTCAACCTGAAATATATCAAACTTGCAACCGTCCAGTCACAAGCTCAAATAACCAAACAAATCTCATTTTAACAACACAGCTTTAAGAACAATATCCCTTACCATGACATTATTCACAAATTATACGAGGGAAAAATATCAGGACTTGCCGGGCGGCTCATTTAATGTAATCTTCTTTGAACACAGCAATCCTAATCAAATATTCACCTCTGTCCTATGTAGCTTATGACGAACAATGAACTATTGTCAGTTAATTATAAGACAATACATGCTGTGTTTTTTACCCTTTCACCCCAAAGTAATTTAAAAAAAAAAAAGACTTGTTTCACATTTCGTAAAAAATAAAAACCTTATAATTCTCGGAAACTCTACCCTAGAGTAAGAAGCAGGAAAAATCTGCAGTCTGGTTAGTTTCTTTATAAATATCCAAAGGACTGAAACATTAGACCCCTGAGAAGAGAGGCAGGCATGAAGTCCTCTGCTTTTTTTTTTTTTTTTAACTCATTAAAGGTCTAAATCGGGAAAAATTCTAATAGCTACTTGAAGGAAAGTAATCATTAAATACAAATGGAGCAAAGAATTAAATGATTTCCTTCTTTCTGACCATTTAAGAAGTGATTTTTGTCTCTTTGTCACAGATGACAATGTGATGTCATAAAGAAATTATTTCATAGGGTATCCAATTTAAATTTAAACAATTATATTTTTACTCCAAATAATACTTGTTATGTCTATGCACATTGTGCAGTTGCAACACTGTCATACAGGGGTACTGGGCACTGTCCTCAGACATCATGTCAACCACAACTTTAAAAAATCAGAAAACAGCTTTCTCTGAGAGAGAGTGTTAAGTCTGGTCTTAGCACGTTGAAGAAACCTGACTAGATATTTTAACATGTGGGACTTTAAAAGTTAAAGCACATGAATTTGCAGTGACTTCTTATGAGAGTCCGTACCGTGTGGCGTTAGTAGTCATGTCTATCCACAACCTTCAGTCTCATATACTTTCAATAAACTCTGACACAGATGATCTTCCATGCCATGATGTCAAACTGTCCAGCAACTGTTCTTTTGGTCTTCCTCTGCCTCTCCTCCCCTCCAACTTTTCTACCGTCACGGTGTTCTCCAGTTTTTTTCCTTCTCATCACATGATAAAGAACGAAGATTGTCTCTTTCTGATGTGTGCAATCAGTTCTCTACGTGAGCCATTTTCTTTCAATACACCTTCATTACTCTGTTTATCTGTCCAGGGTATTCTCATCATTTGTCTATATATAAGCAGTGACAGTAATATATTTTATGTGAGGAAATATCAGGACCAGCAAGTTAACAACCAACAGCTCTCTCTCCAGTGTTCAATCAATGAAATCAACTTAACACTTTAAGATGCAAAAAATGCATCATTTCTGACTGGATATTACAGTCAATCTGAAAACATCTTATGTAAGTTTCTCTATCCTGAGTTTAATCAGAGCAACACAAATATACAAGTCACAATAGCTTACCATAATAATAACCACAAATCCAATGAGAAGGAATACCAGAACCAGTGAGTTAATAATAGACAGCCAGTGAATCTGAAATATAAAGTTCATCAAAGAGGATATTAGAGCAAAGTTAAAGTTCACGTTCACTGGCTGTAAACCTGGGCACTGAGTTCTGCTTGTTTGTCCACTCCTGGACATTAGTCTTGTTCCAGAAATTAAGTTTTGTGTGCACATCTGCTTACAGACCTTACTTATTTGTATGCAGAATGTTGGTTCCCTGCCTATAAGGCAGATGCATTCTGACTTTAAAGGAAACCCCTAATCAGTCGACTCTTATGACATGCTTGTCTGGAAGGCAGTGGGTCTATTCCTCACCCCCCCCCCCCACCCCCATTACAATGATGCCCCAGGAACTCACATTGGGAGAAAGTCAAAGTTAAATTGTGAGGACCAGCTTCACTGCACTGAGATTTCTCACACACATCTCTCTCTCTCTCTCTCTCTCTCTCCGCAGAAAGGCAAGCTGGCTGCCAATAGCATCGCACACAGCATGAAACAGATGAACGACCTTCAAAGGTCAAGGCATATCGCTAACCTAAACAATATGCTCGTTAAGAAGCTGGGTCAACCTTCCCCCCCCCCCCCCCCCCCCAGAACCCACACCGTAAGATACAATGCTGAAAATTACCAGCATTTTACCATATACTTGGTGGGATCATATACACAAAATAGCTTTGTTTATACAAACACCACTTATGTTTTATATTTAAATAAAACAATTTACCTCTAGATTTTTCGGGAAAAATGAGTCATCTCTTATTCTTGTTGCTCTCTGTTCATAACTTAGTCTAAAAAAAAAAAGAAAAAGACAACCAATATATGATAAAGATCAGAAATAAGGTTTTGGGTTTAAATCCACCTCAAGTGATTTTCTTTCCCTCTCACAACTGACCTTGGCTACCAAGCTGACCCAGCGTACAATGGGTACCAGGATCTGGGAAGTAAATGCAGCCTGCATGGTGATGACCACATCCACTTACTGGGTGCTGACAGGTCTGTACAAATGTCTTCTTCTGCTTAGTGTTCACCATATGTCTTCTTCTTCTTCACGTTCACCAGCTGTAAACTCTAGCGGAAAGTTCTGGTTGTTCATCCACTTCTGGACTGCAGTCCTGTTCCAGAACCAGAGTGTTGCGTGTGCATCCATTTTATAGATCTGACTCATTTGTATGCAGACTTCTGGTACCTTGCCTCTCAGGTAGATGCACTCCGACTTTAAAGGAAGCTCCCAATTAGTCGACTCTTACGACCTGCTTTTGGGTAGGCTGTGGGTCTATTCTTGCTTCCCCTATAATAGGGCCCCGGAACCCACACGGGGATCACCAGCTGTAAACTCTGGGAGGAATGTCCTGTTGTGTCATTTCACAGATCTGGCTTTCTTCTATGATCTGTAGGTTCCTCACCTCACAAGTAGATGCGCTCCGACTTCGTAGGATAAAACCCCTAATTAGTTGTTTTTTCTGACATGCTTGTTAGGAAGGCAGTGGGTCACTTCTCCCCACACCCCATCCCTGAAATAGGGCCCAAAACCTACATGGGGGAGATACAAATATATATCAAGCATCACATGCCCCATGAGACATGTAAAAAGGCTCCGTAACCAGGAATATGGAGCCGCGTTAGCGAAGTCGATAGGGGGCTCGCTTTCAAATCTAGCTGCGACTCGCTGCAGCCACGGTGGGTTTTCAAAACCCGGCGGTTCCTGGGGTTCACCCAGCCTCTAAAGGAAATGGGTACCAGAGTGACACTCTGGAGTGAATGGAGGAACGTCGCTGTAGCTACAGAGTTACGTGCGGACGGCGACACAGGCGGACAGTTTCTTATCAGCCGTCTGTACTGGTGGCAGAGCATTTATGGTTTATAACCGTGTCCAGTGACGCTGGTTCACATCTCCCGACTTTACCTTTACCTTTATGCACACTTAGGTACTTCTAAGTGGACCTGTGGTAACACAGTGGCAATCCTTCTAGCCTGCCTGCTCAAGTGTTCAAATCTCCCTCCTTCTTCTTGGTGTTTATCATCATCAATCAGCAGGTCCTTTGCAGAACGTTGCTCTCTTCGTGGCATGTCTGAAAGTCTTTCTTTCTCTGGCTATTTCTCCCATCCTTTGTGCTTTCATAGTCAATCTCATGTAGGTGGCCGGGTTTAATATTTTTGGTAAGGCAATGGAGATTATTTTCTGTCAGAGGCCAATATAAACATCTTAACCTTGCAAAGTCTCTAGTGACTGCCCCGCCATGAAGCCCTAAATCTTCAGGCTTTTGACCACTCACCTGTGTCCTACACGCCCCATAGAAAGTGGTACATACATGAAGTAAAAAAATTTTTCCCTCCCAAAAGTATCAATGTGAATATCAGCACAAAACAACAATGGCAACTACTGATGATATAACACTACACCACATGAAAAGATCTGATGTGAAAGCAAGAGGTCGCCCTAGGAAAACATAGACTGACGACAATAAAGACCTTCTGTATCAGGGCTATTATACCTGCAGCCTGGATTCTGCTCGCAGAGGCATAGCCCATGGCCTGCGGATCATTGACAACCATAATGTTTTCTTAATTAACTTTCTAAAGCTGGTACTCAAGCCTGTGGCCTGTGAGGATCCCCAATTTGGACCCCCGGGTAATCCTGGTTGTATAGCCTTTTTTTTACACTGATTCGGAATGACAAAAACCACTGCCACCCATCAAGTCTCCCCAGTCCTTAGGAAAGAGAATAGGGGCCTTTGCGCTGAAATGGTATAGAAAGATTCTTAGAATATCTTGGACAAGGAACAGAAATACTGACATCTTGAAAGATCTGAACATCAAGGAAGATTGGCTAATAAACAGCATCCTGCTAGGAATCTGAAATATTTTGGTTATATCAAGCGCCATGACGGATTGGAAAAAATAATAGCAGGAGGCAAGGTACCAGGAAGGAGAGGCAGGGGCCGACCGACGTGAAGACGGGCACAGAATATAAGTGATTTCTTAAGTATGAAAGTACATGAGGCAGCACAGCTGGCAAGAGACTGAGTTTCTTTCAGGCAGACCGTGATGAGAGCGATGCTCTGCAAAGGACCTGCTACATGATGATGACCCATTATGCAAACTGTTTCCCCACGGTTAATAACAGTAAAAGTAGAAACTGATAACGATGATAACATAAACAGCATTAAGAAAATGTAAGACTACATACTCAGTGGGAATCCACCTGACGGAATAGGTAAAGGCCACTTCGATTGGTGAGCTGGTAGCATCCAGAGAAATAGGCATCTGCTCTTTGGTGGTAACATTGGCATAAATGATCTGTAACACAGGCATGACATAAGCAAGTAAAGATCACTGAGTGGAGAGTACAGTTCACAATATCTACAATGTCTCAGTTCAAACAAAAACGTCATCCATCATTTTTTTGTTTCCTCTGCATTAAACCTGGAAAACTTGTTGCACATAGAGTCTTGCATGGCAAGGTAAGGTCAAGCAGTTTATTACTAGAACTAACAAAAACATATACAGAAGGGTAAGGATTTTGCCATTGTTAAAGAAATGTCTCCTAAAAATGAAATCAAAGAGGCTAATCATTTATTAGTTGGGATGTAGAGTCCTCATATTTGTTGTATTATATATTGTGTAATTAATTATGTAATATATATTTATAAACTAGTGGATTTATTATACCCTTAATATAATAATTATCAAATATTATCTGCAGATCGGAAGGCCATGGGTTCACTCCCTGGCGGAGCCAGACTTTTTTCAAAAAATGACCTTGACTCCTAGGTGCAGGCCGTGCGCTGCAGCGAGTCGCAGCTGAATTTGAAAGGGAGTATCCTATCGACTAATGCAGCCCCCTAACCTTCAGGAGTATTGGGCATTTTTGCTAGATCTATATTTTATAGACCAATCGGCACTTGGTGGGCGATGTGGTCAGCATCCTGCTGGCTACCTCTACTTTCCAGGACTATATACCTGTACCCATTTAAGGTTGGGTCGACTTGGGAGACAAGGTAACTTTTTTTTAAAAGACCATCTCCATTCGGTTTTGAAGCCACAAACCTCAAATCTGCAGGCGAGCGTACTTTGGCCGTAATAAATGCAGCAATGGTTTTTAGAGAATAATAGTGGAAGGTATGGCACCTGGAAGAAGAGGCTAGGGCCAACCAGCATGTTAATGAAAATGGCAGCGGGCACAGGATATCAGGGACACTCGAAGCACGAAAGATCACAAGGCAGGAAAGTTGGAAAAGTTGGCCAAGTGGATTTACGGCATGATGTCATGACAGCTTAACACCAAAGGAGCAGTATTCAATCCAGTATTTTTACCAACAACACTGTATTACCAATGCCAAACGTGGACATTAACAGAAAATGAAAAAAGAAAGAAACGAAACAACAGAAAGGTACAGTCTACGGCGAATCCTAAATGTAACTAGAAGAGTTCAAAATTGGATCTAGGATCAGAAATGACGATATCAGGAAAGACGCTGGGACTAAACCAGTATTAAATTATATAAAGAGACAACAGATCAAATGGTTTTGAGATATGCCAGACACTGAACCTCAGAGAGCCCTGATACTTAGACATAAGGGAAGTAAAACCAGAAGTCGACAAAGCAAGTTATGAATCGATGAAATAGCCAAGGCCATAAATACCTGTGTCTATGTAGCACATACCATGCCTCTTCAAAAGCTGCAAAGAGGATCATCCATGTCAGGACTGACTGAAAGTAAATGAGACAGAAGGTTGCGGACATGACTACGAATGCCCTATGGTATGAACTATAAGAAGAAGAAGAGTTTCAGTGAAGATGTAAGGATCGTCTGTGTGCTTTTTCTAACCATGCAATCAGGCAAGGTAATCAAGCAATCGCACTTTCAACTTCATAGCAAACGGGTCACCTTATAGTTGCTCCGTTCCTGTGTCAAAGAAAACCACACAGAATGTCCATCTTTGTCTTTTGTGAAAAAAAAATTGTTACAGACTGCATTCTCAGCAAAGCCAATAGCATATACAAACATTCTGTGTATAAGGTAGCCATCTGAAGCACCAACATAAACAGTAAGGCACTACAAATGCAGTTGTCAATGGAAGCAGCCGTCAGGAGATATGAATAGCTGCACAGGCAGTTAATCACATAAGATATCACCACTTCTCTAGTAACAAGCCAATCACCCTTTTTTTTTAATCTGCTTTTCCCAACACAGTTGAAAAAGCATTCAAAATTAAATCTGCAGCCTCAGTGTCATGCCATGCACTCAACTAAGTATCTGGGCGACTAACAATATCCTTTCAGTCTACATATGGGGGAGTATGAAATGGCTAACTGCTGTCAGAAGCCAAAACTTTTCATGGCTAAAAAACAGTAAGCCTGCCTATCCACCATACTGATGGCAAGTTTTATAAGCTGGTATATTAACTGTTACAAGGTGAACATACTTACACGATCTCCATTATACTCTATGTTGAAATGTAAATGTGCCCACAGGAAGATCTTGTGGTTGTGTGGCAGGAAGCCGCCTTCTTCCAGGTGGCCAATAAATCCACGAACAGGAATGTCATCTGTGAGAGGTGGACACAATGACAGTTATATGTCATTTCAGTTAGCTCAGCTCCTAAATCTCTTCCTCTCCTCTAAGTCTAGTTTGTTTACTTCATCGAAATGTTGGGGGGGGGGGGGGGGGGGGGGATGTAGCAGCTGGCACCAGGGCATTTTCGTCAGATGGCTAAACTATCTAACCTGTTGCTCTTGAATCAACTATATGACTGGTTTCGGTGCTTTATTAATATCCTACTCCAGACGACGTCACAGAACAGTCCAAGATTTTAAAGGGTGGGAAGACTGGGTTTCCCTGCTTTCTGATGCTTTTAATGACCCCAAAACATCAAGAACTGGCCCTAACCCCAATTAACCTACATCCCATGAGAGAGTGCAGCCTAGGTCCCACGACTGCATGAAGCCTAGGTCCCACAACTGCATGCAGCCTAAGTCCCATGACTGCATGCAGCCTAAGTCCCATGACTGCATGCAGCCTAGGTACTACGACTGCATGCAGCCTAGGTCCCACGACTGCATGCAGCCTATCTATCACCCCTGAAATATTAGACTGTCTCATGACCTGTGGATTTCCCCTGTTTGGGGTAGGATATTAATAAAGCACCCTGGTTTCAGTTCTAGTCTTTTAATTTCTTCATTACAAATGTTATCTCTTCTTTTTACTTCAGCAGCTTTTCTAAGACTAAGCAGCTCTTCTTTTTAGTGCATATGTCAAAGTTCAGCTGCAATCTTTTAACTGTCATTATGATGTCACTGTGTTCGTTTGCACTACAAAGTTACAAGCTTAACATTTTTAACAACAATATTGACAGGCTACAAGACAATGGCTTGGTTACTGTGATTTCTATTTTCACTTTTAGGATTTTCCTTTGAGGTACCCTCATCTTGATATAAACCAGTGGTCCTCTCTTGCTGGCAGTTAGATGTCTGGACAGCATTTGGGTCTGTCTCTTGTGATCGCGTCAAACACTGCAAGAGTTCTTTTCAGAGCTACTTAATGGTGTGCAATGCTAAGCCATTTTATACGGCGCACATAACCTAGTCACAATTATAACTAAAAGTCCCAACTTTGGGGATGCCGGCTGAACGTGACAATTATTTTTTTTTAGCCCAAAAAAAAGTTGAGTCTGGTTGGTGCAGTCATCAGTCACCTGGAAGCTGTCATGGTGCAGTGGCTAGACACTCGCCTGCCGATCGGTAAGTTGCGGGTTTAGGTCCTGATGGAGCAGGACTTTCTTTTTTTTAATTTTTTTTTATGATCTTGGCTAACAGGTCAGCCAGGCTTTAAATGGGTACCAGAGTTTTAGGAAGTAAAGGCAGCCGGAATGGTGTTGACCACATCACCCACCGAGGGCAGATTAGTCGATAAAAAAAAAAAGTTCTAGCCCTGTATGCTCAAAACATGGAAGACACAAAAAATGGTCCATCTTTACTTTTACACCTGTACTTTCCAGGACAGTTCCTGGTTTCTGTTTTAGGCTGGCAGAACAGATATTTTTTCATTTTTCTTTTTAAGCCAGGCTATCCACTCGTTAATCATTGCTTTCTAGTGTACTATAAATTATAATTAGTTCAGATCCTAAACAGATGCAGGATACTAACCTATTAAAAACTCAAAGTAGTAGAGATCCCAAACAGATGCAGGATACTAACTTATTACAAATTCAAAGTAGTACAGACCCTAAACACATGCAGGATACTAACCTATTAAAAACTCAAAGTAGTAGAGATCCCAAACAGATGCAGGATACTAACTTATTACAAATTCAAAGTAGTACAGACCCTAAACACATGCAGGATACTAACTTATTACAAATTCAAAGTAGTACAGACCCTAAACACATGCAGGATACTAACCGATTACAAACTCAAAGTAGTACAGACCCTAAACACATGCAGGATACTAACCGATTACAAACTCAAAGTAGTACAGACCCTAAACACATGCAGGATACTAACCGATTACAAACTCAAAGTAGTACAGACCCTAAACACATGCAGGATACTAACCGATTACAAACTCAAAATAGTAAAGACCCTAAACACATGCAGGATACTAACCGATTACAAACTCAAAGTAGTACAGACCCTAAACACATGCAGGATACTAACCGATTACAAACTCAAAGTAGTACAGACCCTAAACACATGCAGGATACTAACCGATTACAAACTCAAAGTAGTACAGACCCTTAACACATGCAGGATACTAACCGATTACAAACTCAAAGTAGTACAGACCCTTAACACATGCAGGATACTAACCGATTAAAAACTCAAAGTAGTATAGACCCTAAACACATGCAAGATACTAACCGATTACAAACTCAAAGTAGTACAGACCCTTAACACATGCAGGATACTAACCGATTACAAACTCAAAGTAGTACAGACCCTTAAAACATGCAGGATACTAACCGATTACAAACTCAAAGTAGTAGAGATCCTCTATGGCATTGCGGAGCAGCTCAACATCATTCTGACTGTACTTGACTTTACAAAGCTCCTTCTTTGTAGCCACATCAGCTGGAAATATAAAACCACAGATTGTTAAACCATTTTTAAACATCCACACAGATACATTATTAATTACATGTAGCAGGACATCACCCCTATCCCAGAAGAAACATAGACAAATCAGCTGGAAATATAAAACCACAGATGTTAAACAGTTTTCAAACATCCACACAGATAAATCATCATCATCATGTAATAGGCCCTTAACAGAACATCACTCCCATCACAGCCGAATAAAAGAAACTTAGTCCCTCAACAGCTCTCCTGCACTTTCCTGCCCCTGGAGTCTCTCATGTGCCCACTGAGTCTCTCATGTGCCCACTCTCTCATGTGCCCATGGTGTCTCTTATGTGTCAATGGAGTCTCTCATGTGCCCACTGAGTCTCTCATGTGCCCATGGTGTCTCTTATGTGTCAATGGAGTCTCTCATGTGCCCATGGTGTCTCTTATGTGTCAATGGAGTCTCTCATGTGCCCATGGTGTCTCTTATGTGTCAATGGAGTCTCTCATGTGCCCATGGTGTCTCTTATGTGTCAATGGAGTCTCTCATGTGCCCATGGTGTCTCTTATGTGTCAATGGAGTCTCTCATGTGCCCATTGTGTCTCTTATGTGTCAATGGAGTCTCTCATGTGTCAATGGAGTCTCTCATGTGCCCATGGTGTCTCTTATGTGTCAATGGAGTCTCTCATGTGCCCATGGTGTCTCTTATGTGTCAATGGTGTCTCTTATGTGTCAATGGAGTCTCTCATGTGCCCATGGTGTCTCTTATGTGTCAATGGAGTCTCTCATGTGCCCATGGAGTCTCTCATGTGCCCATGGTGTCTCTTATGTGTCAATGGAGTCTCTCATGTGCCCATGGTGTCTCTTATGTGTCAATGGAGTCTCTCATGTGCCCATGGTGTCTCTTATGTGTCAATGGAGTCTCTCATGTGCCCATGGTGTCTCTTATGTGTCAATGGAGTCTCTTATGTGTCAATGGAGTCTCTCATGTGCCCACTGAGTCTTTCATGTGCCCACTGAGTCTCTCATGTGCCCACTGTCTCTCATGTGCCCACTCTCTCATGTGCCCACTCTCTCATGTGCCCACTGTCTCTCATGTGCCCACTGAGTCTCTCATGTGCCCATGGTGTCTCTTATGTGTCAATGGAGTCTCTCATGTGCCCATGGTGTCTCTTATGTGTCAATGGAGTCTCTCATGTGCCCATGGTGTCTCTTATGTGTCAATGGAGTCTCTCATGTGCCCATGGTGTCTCTTATGTGTCAATGGAGTCTCTCATGTGCCCATGGTGTCTCTTATGTGTCAATGGAGTCTCTCATGTGCCCATGGTGTCTCTTATGTGTCAATGGAGTCTCTCATGTGCCCATGGTGTCTCTTATGTGTCAATGGAGTCTCTCATGTGCCCATGGTGTCTCTTATGTGTCAATGGAGTCTCTCATGTGCCCATGGTGTCTCTTATGTGTCAATGGAGTCTCTCATGTGCCCATGGTGTCTCTTATGTGTCAATGGAGTCTCTTATGTGTCAATGGAGTCTCTCATGTGCCCACTGAGTCTCTCATGTGCCCACTGAGTCTCTCATGTGCCCACTGTCTCTCATGTGCCCACTCTCTCATGTGCCCACTGAGTCTCTCATGTGCCCACTCTCTCATGTGCCCACTGTCTCTCATGTGCCCACTGAGTCTCTCATGTGCCCACTGAGTCTCTCATGTGCCCACTGAGTCTCTCATGTGCCCATGGTGTCTCTTATGTGTCAACGGAGTCTCTCATGTGCCCATGGTGTCTCTTATGTGTCAATGGAGTCTCTCATGTGCCCATTGTGTCTCTTATGTGTCAATGGAGTCTCTCATGTGCCTATGGTGTCTCTTATGTGTCAATGGAGTCTCTCATGTGCCCATGGTGTCTCTTATGTGTCAATGGAGTCTTTCATGTGCCCACTGAGTCTCTCATGTGCCCATGGTGTCTCTTATGTGTCAATGGAGTCTTTCATGTGCCCACTGAGTCTCTCATGTGCCCATATTCGTGCTGGTCAGCCCCTGTCCCTCTTAGCCAGTAAGATGCCCTCCAATGCTGTTCTTTCCAGTCCACCGTGGCATTTAATATAGCCAAAGTATTTCAGTGTCTGAGACAAGATGCTGTTTATTAGAATATTTTCTTGATGGTCAGATCTTTTAGGATGACAAAATTTTCCAACACACACAATCTTCTTCTTTTTCTTCCTTTTATTCGTTCAAGTGATGCATTTGGATTGTGCCTGTTTATGGAAAAGTTGTGATATTTGTGCAGCATTTGTTGACCCACTTAACTTCCTAGATATACACAATCAATCTGAGATAAATGTGCATCTATCAAATTCAAAGGTTTTCCGATAGTGGATTTGAATCATGAAGACACAAATGCTGAACTGTACATTTTACAGCCTAGCATATTGTTGGAGCATTACTACAGAGCTACACCAACATATAATGAAGACCATCCATCAAATGACCACAGACAATCTAAACTAATTCTTTAAAAAGAAAATTGTCACCTTCAACCAGCATCCCCGAAGGAGGAGCTGTAGGTTATAATTGTGACTAAGTTATGTGCGCAACATAAAATGACTTAGCACTGCACACGATGAAAAGCTATGAAAAGGACTCCTGCAGACAGACTGAAATACTGTCCCAACCAGCGACAAAGTCGGCTATCGGCGAGCAAATGGGCGACCCGGTCGCCGATGTGTGACCCCAGACTGACACCCTTTCAATAAATAGTCACAAATAAAGTGAGTCATTTTATTACTATTCCCTTCAGTACGGTCCATGGCTTACTGTTTCCATAAATCCACATCAATACCTGTATCATTCATATCCTGCTTGCCACATTTTTTATATAATACAGAGGCTTACCTGGACATCTTCAACTCATTTATAATTACCATAGATGATGTCTTCGGGACTCCACAATTCTCCTTTTGCCAAGTGTGGCCTAGCCTTTGAAGGCTGGGCGCTGAGACATAAAACTGAGAAAAGACTAATGAAACGGTGAGAAGGCAAGTAAGAGAGAGAGAAGAATTAAAAAAAAAAAAGACTCACATTTATATGCTATGTCATACAAGGATACAGCCATTCTGTCACCATCGAGGACCTCCCCAAGTGTCAGGCTCTTGTGCTCAATCTGTTTAGAGAAGATGTACATACTTTATATTTAATTAACTTAAATCAGTGTTGCACTGTGAATGAGCGCTGAAGTCATGGTGCCAGCTTTAATCCCAGGTGTGGGTGATTTGACAGCAGCCCGCCTTGCGTTGGTTCCAACAGCAATGGCAAACTACTGCATAGTGAAATCAAAATCAGCCAAAACAAATGCTAGGGTTGGTTCTGCAACATCCTGTAGAGGATTTACAACTAACCAACCAAAACTGCGGCGTATAAGTTGAGTTTTCAACCATACAATTTTTTTTCTCTCTCCAAAACTAGGGGTTGGCTTATTGACAAATAGGTAGGTATAGGTCTAATTCAGAATTTTGCTCTAAAAATCTTGAGGTCGACTTGTACGTCAGGCCAACTGCATGCTCTTATTTTTAACATAGGTGTGATGGCAGTGTGGAATCACTAGTAGTCATTTAGGTTGTAATCCCTTACATTACCAATCAAGTGCCATAGAATAAGATGGCAAGACATGAAATCCCAGGTCTGCAGGCTGCATACTGTTGGCCACAAAAGAGATAGCCCATGATGTATGAGATGTTCAATACATGGAAGTGAGGTTAAACAGTCATGAGCGGGACGTGACGATTCCTTGGGTGAGCCCAGTACCAGAGCACTATGTATTAGCTCTGCATTTGTGGAAGCCTCCTTGGATGGCGGGGAATGCTCATGTTCTGCCCCTGCCTTCTCTTGAAGGCTGATCAGCATTATGTGGCCTCTCTGGATGAACCTGATTGGGGCACCACCTGTGACCTGGGAAATAAAGATGACCACAACAATGAGACTGCCATGTCCCCAGAAACTAACCGGGAAGGCTAACCCGGTCAACAAATGCCCGCAGAAGTTGGATGTGTTGGCCGAAAGGTGCAAATATCGCAGCCATGCTGTCAACGGACACAACACAATTACATCTTCGAATGAACGCAGAAGAAGAAGATGGCAAGACAACATCAGAGAAACTCTACTACAACAGCACAATGTATCTATCGTTGAGGTGGCCAGAAGAGCCAGAACCAGAACTTTATTTCTCCCTTGATACCTGAAGCGGTAAAAGTGGAAGTGAAGAAGAGATGCAGGCAAACTGGAACAGAATGGAAAACTTTACATGCCATGAGAACTACAAGAGTGAATGAAGCTGCTATCATCCTTGACTGCCAACCCACTCATCACCATGTAGAAGGTCCTTTGCAGAACATCTCTTATCACAGTCCGCCTGAAAGAAGCTCTCACCAGATCTCCTGTGTCATGCACTTGCCCAACCAAAGTGTCACTTATATCATGTACCCATCCTCACGCTAGTCAGCCCCTGGCCTTCTTTCCTGGTACCATGCTTTCTGCTACTATTCTTTCCAATCCTCTGTGATATGGCCAAAATATTTCAGTTTCTCAGAAAATATACTGTTTACTAGCCAATCTAGCTTGACTTCAGATCTCTCAGGATGCCAGTATTTCTTGGTCCATGGTATTCACCAAACCATGGATGGTTTATAAAAAAATATGGAGCTAGCATCATATGTCAAATAAACCTCAAGATCCAGAAACAAACCATGTCAACCCAATAGTCATAAGTTTTTTAACTGATCTGGATTACAATTCATTCATTCCTTCACTGTCCTGTTGTTATACGTCACACAGGGCAGGCAGTGTCTTCTTCCTTTTCATCCTATCCTGTTCAATCACTTCTTGGTCCAAGATTGGGCATATGAAGCTTGATATCATGGATATAATCCAGTCCAGCCGCTCTAGCTTTTCTTATCAACATTCGCCATAGGCTTCTCTTGGACATCCTTGTCTCTTCAATTCCTCTGTTTGTTTACCGGAATGGCATCCTTTCCTTCAGGTTTCTGTAGCAAACATTATTTTCTCACAAGGTAGGGGAGCTGACCTCCTTCTTTCTCATCCTGGTCTGGGACCGGCCATTACGGAGATGATGATAACAAGTCAATCCTGGCTAAATGGAAATCGGGAAATATCCTGAAAAGTAAAGGTGGTCATCACATGATACTGACCCTATCATCCATCTAGTGCTTGGTCTACACAAAAAGGGGATAAGCACCATATGCTCAACACATAAAGACATGAAAATGGTCATTTTTATTTTAGTTTTCACCCTCCAGAATTGCAGTGTTTAGGATTAACCTCTCGTGGATGAGATTCAAAAAGCTGCAAATCCTAGAAGCCCCTGTTCAACTGTATAAACTCCTTCTTCTTCTCGTTTGGCTTCGTATGCTCAAAACAGATCATCGGGTGGGTTGCCTCTATGAACTCACATGTCAGCAGCATGTCCTTCATGGTTCCCCATAGCTTGCTCTGCACACTTTGCTCCTGAGGCCAGGTTAATTTTCAAAGTTGTATGTAGAGTGGGCAGGTCTGCAGAATGTGCTTAGGTGTTTGTGGTCCTGTTTGACGGGTACACTGTGGGGACTGTACAATCTTTATTTTATGCATGTGGTAGTTGAGCCTGCAGTGTCCTGTTTGTAGACGGAAAATTGTTGTATATTGCTTTCTGTTGAGTTTGCTGACGATGGGGTCTTGTGGATGTTTACTGTTTGTTCTCTCCACAATTCCTGTGTAAAGAGTTACCATATTTTTCCATGCACACGATGGCATGTTGCCCTAAATTTTTTTTTAGGTTTACCTTTATAACTGGGGGCCACCTTATACCCGGAATGGGATTTAAATATTTATTTCCTAATTTTAGGCTAAAAAATAACGGTCACCTAACTCATGGGGGGGGGGGGGGGGGTGTCTTATAAAGAGAAAAATATGGTATATTAAGGCGAATTACAGTTTACTTTATATATACACCACAGGTTTGATCAATATTTTAATCAATAACATAAATCCGTAGGCCACATAAGTGTACAGATTAAACATTTTGATAAAGTTCAACTCTGAAGCAATTGATTCAGGTATGCACATCATACTGTTTAATAAAGGATGCAAATGCCTAAACCAATACAATGTTTACAGCTGATTAAATGTGCGGGGAAATCTATAGATAAATCTCATTTAAATATAGAGGAATCCAGATGTTTGAGGGTAAGTATTTTTGTAAAGTTCATAGAAGATTTTTAGACCATAGCAGATTTATGAGTTTGTTATCTTTAAGCTTGTCCTTAAGCTTTATTTGTTCTTTCTTTCTTTCATCTAACAAAATCACTGTGGTGTTCTGGGACCCATTGTAGGGAAAACAAGAATAGACCCCCTGCCTCCCCAACAAGCATGACGTAAGAATCTACTAACTGAGAGCTTCTTTTAGAGTCAGAATGTATCTGCTTGAGAAAGGCAAGGAACCAACAGTCTGCATACAAATTAGTCAGACCTGTAAAAGGTCTGCACACAACACTCAGGTTCTGGAACAGGACTAGAGTCCAGAAGTGGACAAACTACCAGAACTTTCTGCCGGAGTTCACAGCCGGTGAACAAGAAGAAGAAGAAGTAAACACATGGTGCATTAACTGGTACTGAATGAGCTGAGGGAGAAAGCAGGGGGGAAAAAATCTCCTAATGACTTGTTCATGCTGGTTATATTTTGTACGTAGCTTTCTACAGGATGAGACAGCCAGTTTCACACCAAACTGACTTTGACATGTTGTACGAAATGCTTGGTATGTTACTTTTCTTTACTCCCCCTGTGGGTTCTAGGGCCCCATGGGGAAGGGGGTGAGAAAACAGACCCACTGCCCCCCAAAACAAGATATGTTGTAAAAGTCAAATAATTACGGGTGTTTCCTTCAAAGTTGGAGTGTGCCTGCCAGAGAAGGGAGGAACCAACAGTCTGCTTGCAAACAAGCCAAATGTGTAGAACATGGACGCAGATCCAACACTCAAGTTCTAGAACAAGACAAAGGTTCAGAAAAGGACAAACACCTAGAATTTTCTGCCGCAGTTTATAGCCAGTGAACATGAAGAAGAAGCAGAAGACTATTCTTTATTTCCCTAGAGCGTTAACACTGGCAGAAGAGTAATTTACTCTTTACAATTTGAGATCACAGGCTTATGATAACTGGGATCTACTGACATCAAACACAGTAATTCAAAGCAGACTCATGTGAACTTCATGTGAGGTGTCAAAAGTGTGGATGTTGTTGTTGCTCTTCTTCTCTCCATCTGACTTTAAAAGGCAGGCTGCCATGTTGTCTGGTAGTTTGTAGCTAGGCTGTGATATCATTACCTTTCAGTCCAATACATCTGATGTCATCAAACCCCCAATCTCTCACCTCTTATAATCTGCTCATTAAGGACAGTGGGTCTATTACTTTTACCCTCCAAAATAAGGCCCCTGAAACCCACTTGGGTAAGAAGTTGTTCTATGCGATCTTAAGCAGGAATAATTCTGACTCTTGTGCAAGCTTGCATCAAGGCTGCTGGTCTCTGAATGACAAGTAAACAAAGTTGTAGCTAGTCCGTTTGGTGAAAGGAAAGCCAGATGACAATGAAAAACCAAATTCATATCTCTGAGTTAGGGCACCATTTTGTGTGGAAAAAGGAACAGACTCGCTGAAGTTTGCTAAAATTAGCTGTGTTATATCATGGTTTTATATGTTGCCTTCATTTGGCTGCTATTCTCCTAGATTATTATACTGTTTAAAAAAAATGAATAGTTAAATGCTGATGTGTTTTTATTAGCTGATGGGTTTGTCCATATGCTTAAAAACTACTAATGAATTGCCTAAGGCAGTGTTTCCCAAACTATGCATCTCGGCGCCCCGGTGAGCCGCGACCTCTCCACAGGGGCATCAGGAAATATTCAAGGATACACAATTTTTTTTTAATCTCTTACATACGAATAGTCATACTTTTACTTAGGTTAGGGCACCACGGAAAAATGTAATTGAAAAAAGGTGCCGCAACTAACAAAAGTATGGGAAACACTGTCCTAATGTATTCTTGCGTGCAATTTGAAAAATCTAATTCATTAAATTGCTAAGACTTTGAATATCCAAATTATGTTCCTTTCGGTGCGTATTTTAAATTTTGTTTTAACAGTATAATATAGGTAGGACATATGCGTGAGCTGCTGGAGTTAGGAAAAAAAAAGGGGGCCAATTTTGTATTTGCTGGTAGAGGGCCTACTGCCTGTAACGTGCGGAGCTTGATTGATTGTGACGAGCGTAAAAGTGACTAGGGGTTGTCGCAATGTAACAAAAGGCATCAACACTTAACATGCCACTGGCCAAGAGTAACACAACATGATGAATGCTGAAGCTGCCAAACGTAGCGGAACGAGAACTCTCTTTAAAAGTTTCATTTGTGTATTGACAATATCGATAATCAACACAATGAGAAATATGCAAGTAATAATTCAACTCGTTCAACCAAAGCTCGCTCGTACATCCATGGACTGATATGTCCTCACGATAGGTCGCAGTCCGACCTTGAGATCCAGACAATCATCTTTGTGTTCAGTTCATCCGTCTGAATTAAATAATGAAGGTATACCGGCTTACTGCCGAAATGTAACTTTCACCAGCTTCCTGCTGAGGTCTATCTTGGAGTCCCGGGGTAAAACGTCCTCAAGGATCCAACTTTATATAACGTTTGCTTCCGTGGGATCCCGGGGTAGAGCATCCTCAAGGATCCACACGTCCGTCTCCTTCGGACTATAAACATCGACTGCCTTTGACAACAATACCTTCACAACGTTACGTATTGTTTTGACGTCTTATTCGCTCACTCAGTACTGGTGCGTTCTGGTGCACATCCGCACGCGACACTGCCCAATGGGAGATGAAGATCAGCAAGAGGAGAAGAAGTGAAAGACTACAAAGATGTAACTGAGCTGACTCACCTTCTGTGGTCTGCAGACTGGCAACTGATAGTAATGATACGTCTCATGAGGATTAAAGTATGGGCCCACTTTGTTGACATAAACAATAACCTAAGACAATGGAGACAAAACATGACAGAATCAGTAAACCATTCTATTTTCTTCTTCAATTATCTATGTCATGTATTCAATCAACAGTGGGCCATAAAGTGGGATGTCATCTCAAGATCTCGTTGGTTTCCCCGAAAGCTTAGTTGTCAGGTCGACTTGGTGTGGACACATATTGTTATGCAGGGCTCCCAGATGAGCATAATCTTATAAGAAATGTTCTACAGTCTGTGTATCTTAAAGACGCTGCCTGAGAGCGCTGATAGGCTAATACTTAATTCGTTTATGTGTTTGTAGAGGTGCATGAAGTTTTTGTTTCTAAGCAACAATTACCACTGACTCTTTCAGTCCCAAATAACTGCAACACTAGTTATCATAAAGCAGAGCGATTCAACTTGTGGCCTGAGGGCCATATGTGGCCCACGGATGCTTAGCCATTGGCCCACGCATCATTGTCAGTTGTACTGTATTGTAATAACTGTCTTTCTATGCTGACGCTCGGGCTTCTGGCACATGACGGTCTCAATTTTTTAAATTTCGGCCCCTGATTAAACATAGTTGAATAGCTCTGTTGTGAACCATATGTAATTTAAGGTGACCATCCAGGAGTCTTGCTGAGTTAAAAATATACTTATAATATATGGGAAGGAATGGGGTGGGGAGAGGGGGGCAACAGTAAACAAATGAATTAAGTGGATCAAAGTAACAGAAGAACTAGATGTAAATATGGACATGTATTCATAGATAAAATTATCAATAAATGCATACTGAGTTGACTGGGACTAAAAGAGTTAAAGAGAAAACATTTTCATTAAAGATTTTTAAATGTTCCTGTAGCTGAGTATATGTACGAACGAACAAACTTTATTTTCAAAGGATTACAAATTGGGCACACAGGCCTGTCTTACATTCGGCCCTTTATGTATGGCAAAGGAGGGGGGTAGACTATACACCTATGTGCCATTTCAATGGTTTGAGATTAATTATGTCCGTATTCCATAGTTGTGGATACAGCTATTCCACAGCTATATGATAGACATGCCCAATGAAGACAACCATTTCAGAGGTGCCTAGCTGGTCATGTATCTAAGTACACTTGTTCTCCATAGCAAGGCCGACACAGCATTCAAAGGTGACAGGCTCGATTCCTGGCACGGTGAACTATAGCTTTTGATTTTTATGTTGTCTAGTGTGTCCTTCTATGAGTGCCGTTCAATACGTCTGTTTACTTAGTATATATTATATATATATACACACACACACACACATAAACGGGGAACCCTTGATGCTGTAGTACCAAATAACGGCCACATATTAAGGCAGCCAAAATCACACCCTGACAGGGCCTCCATCACATGTAAATTGCGGACTTCCTCCGACGAATACATCGCGGCAAAACTAGGATTACTATCCGTTGACAATTTCGAGAAACAGAACAACACACAATAATAGCGACATGGCAGAGAGACCATGGCCTCCGACGCAGGTTAGCGAAAGTGTTCTTCCAATTAAACTGACCGGAAGTCCGCATTTTTCATAGGACTGAGGCCCTGTTAGGGTATTTGTTTGGCCGCCAGACTCTCCTCCCAACTTGTACCCCCGCATTACATTACAAACAAATATCCTCACAGGGCTCAGTCCAATTAAAAATATGTGAACTTCTGGCGACGAACGAATCGCAGCAAAACTAGGATCGGCTCCGTATAGCGAAACAAATGCTCAAACAGGGTCTCAGCGATATGTTAATTGCGAACCTGTTTCTGTGACTATGCCTCACCGCCGACCGTATCCCCCTCGCCGCTACGAGGGGCGCGGATGGGGGCTAAACTAAATGGCTGGGACTCACGAGGAGCAGCAGCTACCGCATTTCCTGCAACTTCCTCTAATTAATTTGCTCGTGAGTCCAAGACATCTAGTTTAGCCCCCATCCGCGCCACGTATAGCGGCGCGGGGGATATCGTCGGCAGTGAGTGTAACCGCATTTTGCGCATGCCGAAAAGTTGGAGGACAACAATGACACTAATCTGCGTCGGCGCACGTGGTCTCCCTGCCATGCCGCTTTTATCGACTGCAGAAACGCTAGAAGGTGTCAACGGTCGCTATTATCGTCTGCTACTATTGTCTGCAGTGTTGCGTCTCTTAAAATTGTCAGGTAATCAGAAACATAAAGAAACAGGTCCGCAATTAACATATCGCTGAGACCCTGTTGGAGCATTTGTTTCGCTATACGGAGCCGATCCTAGTTTTGCCTCGATTCGTTCGTTGCATGAAGTTTCCATATTTTCAATTGGACTGAGACCTGTAAGGATATTTCAGGCCGCCATAATGCGGGGGTAGAAGTTCGGAGGAGAGCTGACCGCCATATTACCGGGGTGGAAGTTCGGGGTAGAAGTTCGGAGGAGAGCCGCGGAGGAGAACCCCGCTTTTTCTTCATGTCTCTCCATTATAATAATAAGTCTCAAATTGTAATTAATACAATTTGTATTTTTCAACATTTATTGACATGCTTGACAAATTTATACATAAAATTACAATAATTTTGGCACTCCTTTGATCCTTTCCCCAAAATGGCGGCATGCCACATTCTGGCCATAAAATATCCAAAATTATCCGAACGACGGTGTTCCCGTATATCTAAAATACGGACTGTCTGCCAAGGGACAAATCACGGCAAAACTAGGATTACTTGACAATCACTATCAACATTGCACACGGTACTAGTAGCAGACGATTAATACCGACCGTTGACAAAAATTTTGAGCGTTTCTGCGACGCCAATACTAGCAGACGATATTAGCGACCGTTGACCAATTTCGAGACATTACAGACGATGAAAACGATTAGCAATACTGTGTTCTTCCGATTGGAGGATTTAGCAGCGGTAGATGTCAGACTTGTCGGCATGCGCCAAACGCGATTAAACTCATCGCCGAGCAATCTAGGTGCCTGGAACTCACGAGTACAGTAATTGGAGGAATTTGCAGGAGATGCGGTAGCTGCCACTCGTGAGTCCCAGCCATCTAGTTTAGCCCCCATCCGTGCCGCGCGTAGCGGAGCGGGGGATACGCTCGGCGGTGAGGCACACTCGCAGAAGCAGGTCGGCAAGCAACGTATCGCCCAGACTCTGTCAGAGCATTTGTTTCGTTATTCGGAGCCGGCACATATATTTCTAATAGAACTGACCCCGCATTCGGATATTTTATGGCTAGAAATTTGCCAATTTAGCTACTTTTTGAACGTCATCATATTAAAGTCGCCATTTTGGGGGACGATTCAAAGAAGCGCCATAATTTTTACTTTAATATTAAGTTTGCTAAATAATGTTTTAATTATAAAAACGAAAATGTTTTTGTGTGTGTTGTGTTAATTTTCACAATTTTGTTATTCATAAAACTTTTTTCAACAATAACAAATGCAAATGATAATGATAATGATCCAATTCTTTTAAATAGACAGGTGAACAAGATGAAAAGTTGTGTCTCTGTAACCTCTCATTAATATTAGCCAGCTCACCTTGTCGCCATCCTTATATGCACTGGCAGAAACAAAATCAACACCTATGATTGCGACCACTGCCAACACAACAATCCCCCGAGCTGTGGCCATCTTGAAATCAAAACACTGGAAACTGGTAACGTCTCGCCGTCTCCGTGACGTTACGTGGCTAGGACTAGAGGTAGGAATGTTGAATTCTGAATCCACATCAAAGCACTCAGGAAACCCACATAAGCGTTCCGTCCCCATCTTCGGCATCAAGCGTAGAGTTCTTATTCCAATGGCACCAGTAACTGACTGATTGTATTTAATATCCGACTCGCCCTTTTCCTGAGTGTTGTTTGTCAGCCAGATCCCCTGGTAACTCCCAGCTACGCCATTCTTCTCAGACCGTAATGATCTATTTGTTCCTCCGCACTGTTCACTCGCACCCAAAGGGCCCTCACAACATCTAGCTTGTCATAATACACCAGTCCACAACCATGTGGTGCAGAAGCGACCAGTCTATCTGCTTGCTCGTTTCCCAACACATCGCCATTGCATGGAGAAAATATCTAAGGGACGCTAATCAGTCCGAGATCTCTGAACTGATGCTTGCCACTCTGCACGGAGCATACCTGCTGCTCCACCTTTCTCAGCATGCTCAGTAACAATCACGGCATGTGTGTACAGCTGATTCTCCGGCCAGCGGAAGGCAGCAATGACTGCTTCCACCTCCATTCTCAAACTAGACGTTGTGATATATGTAAGACTTTGTTGTACTAAGCGACGTCTATTTCAATTTGCTTTTGCTTTAAAACCCCTAATAATAAAAAGGACTAAAGGAGGGCAGCTAGGTCAATGTCTCCCAGTCTCACACAGGCCCTGTCGTGTGCAAGGTTTGCTTGTGTTTTGTCCTTCTTCTTCTATTTATTTCTCTTCCTTCTCTTCTGTTTTTTTTTTCTTCTTCCCCAGGATCATATGTCCCTTTCTCTCTGCCGCACCCGGGTCCCACAGTGAGCATTGAATAGTTGATTCTTCTTCTTTTTTCCCAGGTGCATAAACCCCTGCCTCACCAGACCCTACAGCGAGCATGTAATTGTTAATTCTTCTTCTTTATTCCCATCATCCTCTTCTGAGACTCGATACCAAATAATTTTGTGAGGGGCTGAGCTGCTTCTATAGCCATGTATATCTTCTTTTTCCCATATGCCAAAAATTCTAGTTATACGTCCACTTCTAGATTTAAGCCCTGTTCTAGAACTTGACTTTTACTCCCACACCCCCTTTACATATCTGGCTTATTTGTATGCAATCTGCTGGTTCATTGTCTTCTAGCAGATGCACTCCGACTTCAAAAGAAACCTCTAATTAGTCCTCCACCCCCTCGAGACCCAGGAATCCACGCAGGGAAGACATGCGCAGTATATAAATTATCTCTTCAAGTATTTGTAATTATCATTTTATTCTTCTTTTATCGTCTCACAGATACCAGGTTGTAGCTCAGTGTGGTGGTTTCTGTATTTGTCTTGAGCTTCTCGGGTGATGGATTCATCTTTAAGCAGGTTTCTGCTACAACATTTATCCCTCTCTTTCTTGGTTTTCCTCTCGCCTTCCTTCCAGATGTTTTGCTGTAAAAAAGTCTCATGTGCAGTTTGGCCTGGCTGCATTCTCACTAGATGGCCGAATCATTGAATTCTTTGTCTGTCAATATAATATTCCCACTTTCTCTCTAAAACTGCTGTTCGAGACCATGTCTATTCTTGTGTTGTTAGTGACCCTGTCTATTCTTGTGTTGTTAGTGACCCTGTCTATTCTTGTGTTGTTGGTGACCCTGTCTATTCTTGTGTTGTTGGTGACCCTGTCTATTCTTGTATTGTTAGTAACCTTGCGAAGACAGCACATTTCACTTGCCGTTATTTTCTGTTTAGTGCCTTAATCATTGTTCATGTTTGGTCCTAAAAACACAAAAAAGGTATAAAGATGCTATTAATCATTTCGGTGTTTCAGCAGTGGGGCTAACTGGCAGGTGACAGCATTTGCCTTCTGTACTCTGGGTTCTATAAGGAAAACAAGAATAGACCCACTGCCTCCCCACAAGCATGTCGTAAGAGTCGACTAATTGGGAGCTTCCTTCAAAGTCAGAGTGCATCTGCCTGAGAGGCAAGGAACCAACAGTCTGCATACAAATAAGTCAGATTTGTAAAACGGATGCACATGCAACGCTCAGGTTCTGGAACAGGACTACAGTCCAGAAGTGGATGAACAATCAGAACTTTCTGACGGAGTTTACAGCTGGTGAATGCGAAGAAGTATTTGTTTGATTGCAGTACTGTTAACATGAACATTCACAATATTATGTTTCCTGCCTATCATTATTGCTGCAGTTTTTGCGGTGTTAACTCTCATATCCTACTTTGTGCAGCTTTGATGTAAGGAGTCAATATGGTGTTATAAATTCTGTTTTTGATGGTGTATTAGACACTGATCGTCTGCATAAAGAAGTTCTTTTAGACGAGGTTTTCTCATCGACTCCAACCATTTTCTTTGAATCTATCCTGTCTCTGTCTTCTTAATCATAATCATGGAACCACTTAGAAAGCACGCATGGGGAAATGCTGTTGTCTCTAGCCACATCATTAGTTTTGTTTTAGTCATAGTTAGGCTCCTTGTAGTCCAGACACAATCTTTGAGTAAATGTAGACCCCCTAACAAGCATATCGCAAAAGGCAACTAATCAGGGGTGTTTCCTTTGCAGAGTGCATCTGCCTGAGAAGCATGGAACCAAGTCTGCCTATAATTTTGCCTGAATTGTGAAACAGATGTGCACACAAACACAAGCTGTGGAACAAGACCAAAGTCCAGAAGTAGACGAACCAGAACTTTCTGCCATAGCAGACAGCTGGTGAACACTAAAAAGAAGAAGTGATTGCTGGATAGCGTATATCATATATCTTTTTACTGTGCTCAACTATACTAGGTAACCTCAATGCTTTATCATTCAAAACAAACATCCTAACACAATGGACACATAAACAAACAGTCATCTTTGGTAACACTGCACTTGTGCAGGGCCCCATTATCGGGAAACAAAAATACTCCCACTACCTCCCCCAACAAGTATGTTGTATGAGTCGACTGATTAGAGGCTTCCTTTAAATTAGGAGTGCATCTGCGTGAGAGGCAAAGAACCATTAGTCTGCATACAAACAAGTCAGATCTGTAAAACAGATGTGCAAGCAACACTCATGTTCTGGAATGGAGACAGGCATGCTCCATGCAGAGTGGCAACCAACACTTAACAGGTCCCAGGTAGTTAGCATCCTTTAGATATTTTCTCCAGGTCACTCCGGGCGGATAGACTGGCCGGTTCTGCACCACTTGGTGGTGAACTGATATATGACAAGCTGGATGCTGTGAGGGCCCTTTGGGAGCGAATGAACAGTGCCGAGGAACAGATAGATCATTACAGTCTTAGGAGAATGGCACTGCGAGGAGTTACAAGGGGATCTGGCCGACGCTCGACGAAGGGGCGAGACGGATATATAATCAGACTGTTACTGGTACCATCGGAATTTTAACTCTTCACTTGCTGCTGAAGATGGGGACGGAGCACTTATGGGAGTGTCCCGAGTGCTGTGATGTTGATTCTTAATTCAACGTGTTCTGGAATAAGTCCGGAGGTAGAAAAATACCATAACTTTCCGGCGGCGTTTACAACTGGTGAATGCGAAGAAGAAGATGTAACACTGAATAACATTAAGCAAGTCCCTCAATGGTTTAACTTTATTGTCATTTTAAATTAATTAGAAACTGCAAGTTACAATAATAATGTTACAAATCTATAATGATGATGTTAAAGAATACATTTTTTTTCTCTCAGTTTAAAACTGTGGAAGAGAGTCATAATTTAACCAATATTTCTCCACATTGTGAACTCATTAACTACACACACACACACTTTCTTACTAATTAAATCTTACTCATTAACTACACAGCAACTATCTTCTCAATCAATGAGGCCCATGTGTGTAACACCCAACTACATTATGTGGCATCAAAAAAGAATATCTCATAGTTCCATCTGTCAAAACATACTGAGCTAGATTGTGTGGCATCAACAATGAATGTCTCATAGTTCCATCTGTAAAAACATACTAAGCTAGATGGTTTGGCATCAACAATGAATATCTCATAGTTCCATCCTTATAAACACACCCAGCTGGATTGTGTGGTATCAACAATGAATATCTCATAGTTCTATCTTTACATTCATACCCAGCTAGATTGTGTGGCATTAACAATGAATATCTAATAGTTTCATTGTAAAAAAAAAAAATCTAATAAATCAGCAATTACCAACTTTCAGTTCCCCATGTACAAACACACCTAACCACACTGTGTGAAGTTAGCAGTGGTTATCTCATCTCACAATTCCATGTGTACAAATATACACAACTAGATTGTGGGAAATCAGCAATTACCATATTTCAGTTCCACATGTACAAACACACCTAACTAGAATGTGAGAAGTTAGCAGTGGTTATCTCTTTTCCATGCGTACAATCACACACTTTTTATCCAAAACATGAATCAAAATTAATGGAATAAGGGATGGAGACAATGGGGAGATAAAAACTTTACATCCATGATTTTCTTACTGTGTTCTCACAAGTTAAAGCCTAAAATCTGCCACTCATTAAACAATAATATGACAAAATATTTAAGAACATTGTTATATATAATTTTTTTTTAAAAGCAAAAAAAAAAAAAAAAAAAAAAAAAAAAAAAAAAAAAAAAAAAAAAAAAGACACACCCCCAAAAAAACATGTCAGCTAAAAAAATTAACACCACCCTGCCAATAATAATTTGTATTTCTGATTAACATTTTTTGTTAGAAATGTAACATACTCGCTCAACTCACAATAACACTTTTCTCTCTAAATGCATGTGTTGACTGAACATACAAACAAAGCTAACAGACGCTCCCAACCACTAAAATATGAGGAATTATAAGTGATAAAGAGCAAAATATTGGAATTATTTAAGTTAAATGAGGCTGCCAGTATTATTGAGTCTTTCTCAGTCGGTCCAGAGCCCCTCCAAGGACTTTCTTTCTCTGGCGGAACATGTGTAGATACAGCTGAGGGAATACTGTAGACATTCAATGTGATAAATGATCAGCATCAATTTAAACAAGCCAGCATTAAATATAGTTTAATGCCATTAAGCATGGCACTCTTGCAACATAGGACAGGCCTATGACATGACCAGGGATGAATGGCAAGGGAAGTCACTCTCTTCCTAGGCCTGACTTCGTGAGTTGTCTCCTGCAGGTTATACCAGGCAGGTTAAACAGTTACAGGTGCCCTAATTATATCTTCCTTGTAGACTGAATTGGGTATCTGGGATCTGCTTTGTTGGTCTGGCGCCAAGATTCAGATTTGTGCCTGGTAAATATTGTTGTCGGCTCTGTGGCTAGGTCGATGCGAACGCTTCGTAATGCCCGGTTCGATCCCCCCTTGGGCCATGCGCTTTGCGTGGGTTTCGACAGTGGTATCAAGAAAACCAACCGTCCAGAAAGCAATGGCAAACTACTGGATGTAAATTTGCCTAGAAAAACCACACAACAGCCAGGGGCTGTTAGGGTTGGTTCTGCAACGTCCTGTAAAGGATACGCAACTAACCTTTTTTTAAATATTGTTGGAGGAAGGCAAGCAGAGACAGTCAATAGGCATTTTCCAGGCATCCACAGAAGCTTCCATAAATGCAGAGTTAATAAATAACTCTCGAGTACACAAGGAATCATCCAATCCTGCATGACTATTTCACCCCAAATCTGTACACTGAGACTCCCAATCTTACTAGGCAGCCCCCCAATGGGACTGACTAGCTAGTCACAATCCACAGATTTTGAGCTTTGGTAAGAATTCACACAACAGCCATTTTCTAACGACATGACTTCATTCCAGCCACAGGATTTTCCAGACAAGTAGGAGAAAAACCATCTAAACTAGATTATAACAATCATCCTAACTATGAGACTTACCAGGCAAGAAGGACATAACTAAACTTGACCTTAACAATCACATTCTAACCACAAGACTTACCAGGCAAGTAGGATAAAACCATCTAAATTTGAATATAATTGCATTCTAACAACAAGACTTACCATGCAAGGAAGAAAAAAACCATCTAAACATGACCATAACAAACATTCTAACAATATTTAACAGGCAGGTAGGATACAACCATCTCAACTAGATCATAACAAACATTATTTCCAGACAATATACCTCTCCCAAGAAATAGAGGATGCTTTTCAAGATAAGAAACTGGTACTCGCGGCATGGATAGATTTAAGGAAAGCTTTTGATAAGGTTTGGAAGGAGGGGCTTTTGAAGAAATTGAGAAACTATAAAATAAATGGAAAAATGTACAATTGGATTAAAGCATATCTATATAACAGAAGAGCCCGGGTACAGGTAGATGGTTTTAAAAGTAAAAAAGTTCTACTGCGACAAGGCGTCCCTCAAGGTGGTGTCCTGTCGCCCACACTTTTCCTTTTATTCATCAACGATCTGGTTGCTGAGATACCAAATGGAATCAAAATGGCAATGCATGCCGATGACCTGGTACTGTGGTGCACCAATGAACATGCAACGATAGCCACAAAAACACTACAGCGGGCTACAAATGCACTTGAGGCATGGGCCAATAGATGGTGTGTCAGCATCAACACAGACAAATGTAGCACCACACTATTCACCCTCTCCCCAAAGCAAAAAGCCGGCACCATCAAAATAAACGGAATACCCCTGAGAGATGATAAAGAGCCCACATACCTAGGAGTCACATTTGATAACAGGTTGACATGGAGAAAACATATCAACAAGGCAGCAACCAAAGCCAGGAGGAAGACAGCAATACTAAGAAAACTAAGTGGAACTACATGGGGAGCCGATGGGAAAATACTAAATAAAGTATACAAGCAGAGCATACTTCCACACTTGGAATATGGGTCAACTGCATGGTGTTCAGCATCTAGTACCACATTAAAGGAGTTAGACAAAGTGCAAAATCAAGCGCTCAGAGTCATCACAGGAGGGATGAAATCAACCCCCATATTAGAAATGGAGAAAGCTGGGAAAACACAGGCACTGAGAGAACGCAGAGATACAAAGTTGCAAATTCAAGCTGAAAAGTTCCTCAGTATGCCAGATCACCCGATGGAAAATAGATTTAAGAACCTAGCCTTGGGACGGTTAAAAAGAAGCAGCTTTATACACCAAGCAAAAAGAATATGTAGACAAACTCCTGACCTTCCAGAAATTGGTTGCCCACTTAAAAGTATTCCAGAACAAACCCCATGGAGAGAAAAATGTAAACTAATGGTACAAATCCAGACAAATGTGAAAGGGATATTTGACAAGAAACAGCAAGATAGTGTACAACGCAGAATGGCCACCCTCAGTTATATTGATGAAGAATACCCACAAGAACAATGGGTCAGAGTCTATACAGATGGGTCCGCAGAAAGTGCAGTTAGAAATGGTGGCGCTGGAGTGTACATCGAATTCCCAAATGGTACTAGGGATAAGTCCAGCATACCAACCGGGAAGTACTGCCATAACTACGATGCAGAAATCCAGGCTATCAAGATAGCTACAGAGAAACTGCTAAATACCAACCTTGGCTCACAGTATGTGGTAATGCTGACAGATGCTAAATCAGTACTCGAAGCACTCCAGTCTAGGAAACTACCAGAATTGCAAACACTGCTGACACAACTCAGCGTTCAGCGAAGAGTCGTAATGCAGTGGATATCGTCTCATTGTGGAGTGCCTGGAAATGAGAAAGCTGATCAACTGGCAGGGGAAGGTGCGACAAAAGAGCAGCCAGATGTACCAGTCACATACCATCAAAAGAAAAGAATCATTAAATCGATCAGGAAACCACCAGCCCCAGCACAAGACGACTATTTTATTATGGACAGACCAGAACAAGTCATTATCCTCCGCCTCAGAACAGGGCACAACCGATTACGTAACCACATGTACACAAAATTCAAGATAGGTGTATCAGCTATGTGCACCTGTGGAAATGTGCCCCAGACAGCAGAGCATGTACTCCAGGACTGCACCGATTTTGACACATTAAGGCAAACCTTTTGGCCAGAAAGAACAACAGTGCAACGTAAACTCTATGGACCACTGAATGAACTAACAACGACAGTGAAATTTATACAAGAGACAAAACTGCTGATATAGACAACTTATTTCAGGCGAACGAAAGAAGAAGAAGAACAACAAACATTCTAACCACAAGATTAACCAGGCACGTAGTAGACGGCCATCTAAATCTGACCATAACAATCATTCTAACAAGACTTATCATGCAAGTAGGACACAACCATAATTTGATCATAACAATCACATTCTAACCACAAGACTTAACCATGAAGTATGGCACAACATCTAAACTCGATCATAACAATCACATTCTAACCACAAGACTTAACCATGAAGTATGGCACAACATCTAAACTCGATCATAACAATCACATTCTAACCACAAGACTTAACCATGAAGTATGGCACAACATCTAAACTCGATCATAACAATCACATTCTAACCACAACAAACTTAACCATGAAGTATGGCACAACATCTAAACTCGATCATAACAATCACATTCTAACCACAAGACTTAACCATGAAGTATGGCACAACATCTAAACTCGATCATAACAATCACATTCTAACCACAAGACTTAACCATGAAGTATGGCACAACATCTAAACTCGATCATAACAATCACATTCTAACCACAAGACTTAACCATGAAGTATGGCACAACATCTAAACTCGATCATAACAATCACATTCTAACCACAAGACTTAACCATGAAGTATGGCACAACATCTAAACTCGATCATAACAATCACATTCTAACCACAAGACTTAACCATGAAGTATGGCACAACATCTAAACTCGATCATAACAATCACATTCTAACCACAAGACTTAACCATGAAGTATGGCACAACATCTAAACTCGATCATAACAATCACATTCTAACTAGAAGATTTACCAGGAAAGTAGAAGAAAACCATCTAAACTTGATCATAACACTCATTCTAACCTCCCATGACTTACCAGGCTAGCAGGAAACGGCCATCTATACTTGATAACAACCTTTCCAATGATAAAACCTATCAGACAAGCAGTAGATGACCTTACCATGCAAGGAAGAAAAAACCCATCATTTTAACCATATGATTTACTGGCAGGTAGGAAACAACTACCTAAACTTAATCACAATAACCATTTTAATAACAAGTCTCATGACTATCTGAACGTGGACATAACAACCATTCTAAAGAAAAGTCTTATGACCATCTAAACCTGATCATACAACCAATCTAAAGACAAGTCTTACAACCATCTAAACTTGTTTATTAAAACCATTCTAAAGACAAGACTTATAACCATCTGAACTTCTAATAATACAACTTACCAGACAAGTAGGAGATGACTACTTACACTAAATCATAACAACCATTCAAATGACAATGCTTACCAGGCAAATAGGAGATGACCATGAAGCAGAGGTAGTAGTAATAGCTGAAAGAACAGTTCCATGGATTGGGCAACTCTATGCTGTACAGTCGGGTCTCTTTCACATATGGCAGAGCATTGAAGACTGTCATCAGTTCACCCTTAAAAAAAATCCAAACGATATTAATAAACTTATTTCATTTAAGGAAAGCCTAAGGTACACGATGGGTTGCTTGCTATTGAATGAGTAAAGTATTGTTATCATGTATGCATGCATTTAAGCATTAGGTAACGTTTCTACTGACAAAGCAGTCAACAAAAATCCCTTTTTACGCAAGTGGCGCAATGGGCACATGGTGTTAGATTCATATTTTCATTGACCAATCGGCACTCAGCTAGCGATGTGGTCAACATCACGCTGGCCGCATTTATTTCCCAGGATATTACCTGGTACCCATTTAGGCTGGGTTGACCTGGAAGCCAAGGGTAATTTTTAAAAAAAAAACTCGATGCAGATATGAACCCAAGACAATTGGATCAGCAGGTGTCTCTAGTTATTAGGCTAGTTCCCCCTACTGTCAAACAGGCTGATGAAAAATCAAAATGTAACTAAAAAAAAGAGAAAACATCATTAAAAGTAAAATAAAACTCCCCATATGGGTTCACGGGTCCTATTCTGTAGGAAAAAAAAAGAATATACCCACTGCCTCCCTAATAAGCATGTCATACAAGATGACTAATTACAAGAGTTTCTTTTGAAGTCAGAGTGCATCTGCCTGAGAGGTGAGGAACCAACAGTCTGCATTTTAAAAAAAAAGCAGATCTGAAAATGGATGCATATACTCAAGTTCTGCAACAAGACCAAAGTCTAGAAATAGACGGACAACCAGAACTCTCCCCTGGAGTTCACCCCTGGTCAATGGTGAGATGAAGTAAAAAATTAGCCTTTTTAGAGGTTAGAAGACTTTCTTGCACAGAACTGCCCATCTTTATTTTGACTGCTTCAGTATGCTTGAGTTATGTAATGAAAGGGATCATATGGTTAACCTAAGACTTCCATGGTGAGTGTACAGTGTAACAACGGAATATGTGATTTGTCTGTTTCAGTCAAAAGGATTCATTCTGGTGCCTCATTATACATTGATATAAAATCTGTAATGGGCACTCAATGAGAAACAGCACAATATACCAGGTAATAAATGGTGCAGTGTATTTGTGCCTCATTATTTAAATTCAAAACAACAACAAAATTGAACTAAACAATGAAATAAATTACTGCAGCAGTCATTGGCAAGTTGATGCAGAAGTCACAATGAAAGAAATAATGCAGCAACCCTAAAGAAAAAAATCAAATGCACTAGTCACAAGGAAAGAGTCAATACAGCCATCACAACAAGAGAAATGATGCAACAGTCACAAATAAACAAGTCACAATGTACCAGCCACACACACACAAAACAAGTAAATGCACAAAAGACATAATTGTAGCAGTTATAAGAACAACAACAAATTATGTACATGTATTTACTGTGATTGCATAGGCCAGCACTGTGCATACACACTAAAAGATCAAATGCAAAAACTGCACCAAACAAACCAAACTTAAAAGCTTTTAAAAAAAAAGAGAAGATGGAACTAGAACACAGAATAACTACATGTGAAATGCGCTGTCTCCACAAGGTCCCTAACAACAGAGAGTTACAACTATAATACTTACCGTCACACCAATAGGGTACAGTATAATGAAGAAGGTGTATCTGAAACAGAGAATAAACGTTTTAAGTATCTCTCTCCTCTGGCAACATATGTGATAGCGGTGAAAGTCTAAGATATTACTTTTTTATTTGTCAAAATTCATCCTTAAAGTATGTGAGTCAGATCCGTGTCTCTCTCCAAACACACAGTAAGTACAAGTGGGCTTCACACGAAAAAAGTGCTACAGAAGTTACAATAACTATGTCACTGTCTTGTAACCTGCCAATATTACTGTTAAGGATGTCAAGAATGAAAAGCATGCGATATCATGATGCAGACAAACACAGCTTGCATCAAAGAACAGAGGCGTTTCATTATCTTTTTTTGTTTATCAGTGAATGGGTTAAACTACAGTAATTCATCACTGAATGAAGATTCAGTATGGTGACACATGCCTCCAGTCCAGCAGGTGTATGTGGAGCTGGGAATTTAAAAAACAGTGTGACTTCTGCGACAGACTGCACAAGACTGACCCTATTATTGTAAATTCTATCACTTTTAAAGTTTATAATTTGAAGACCCTGTAAGTAAGTAAAGGACCCTTTTATTTTCAGGCAGTTGGTACATCGGGTATACAGTGCAAGACCTGGATTTTTTGTGTGTAATAAATTGATCGACACTCGACAGATGATGTGGTCAACCTTATGCCAGCCGCCTTTACTTTCCAGGACACTACTTGGTAACCAGACTAGGCAGTGCTGAGTCAAGAGGAAAAATCTGCTTCAATGCAGATTTGAACCAGACTTTTGAACCAGCAGGCAAGCATCTCACCACTATGCTAACACAGCTCCCCAAAAACACAAGACGCAGAACTAATATATTTGTTTAAATTCACTCATCAGAACTGCTACCAGAAGGTCTGACACCCAGTGACTCAAACACCCAGTGACTCAAACACCCAGTGACTCAAACAGCTTCTTTTCAGATACCAACCCAACAAGAACAAATCACAGAGACCTAGTTCAACCATATGAAACAGTTATCCTTGGACACCTTATAGATGCATGCAGTAACCTGCAATCATGTGCAGGTGGGGGACTAAATGGTAAAATGTAGAACCAACACTCAACTCTGAGACTCAAGAATAGAAAGACCATCGGTAATATTTTGTGTGTGCGCATTCACCAGACGTAAACCCGACCAGAAGTCCTGGCTGTTCATCTGTTTCAGACTTAAACTTTGACCTGAGTTTTGCGTGTGCACCCATTTTACAGATCTGGAATAACTGTGTGCAGATTGTTGGTTCTTTGCCTATCAGGCAGGTGCACTTTGACTTAGAAGGAATCCCCTAATTAGTCAACTCCTACAACTTGCTTGTTGGGGAGGTAGTGTGTCTACTGTAGTTAACTCCCACAAGGGGGCCCCAGAACCCACATGGAGGGGGTAGAATTTCGAATTTTTAGTCCAGAATAGCCAACGTATTAATGAAAAAGTTTAGAACCTATTTCTTCAACATACAGTGTTGGCCCATATTTGTACTGACTAATCAGCATACAAAATCACAGCATAAGTAGACGGTGGAGAGATAATTCACAGGCTTACCTATAAGCATTTTGAGTCACCAAACAAAAAGAGAGGGCCAATCACAGATAAGAATGGAGGCGAGTAATGTCTGCAGCAAGGAACCTTAAGGTCTCAGAATGCTGAAGACGATGACAGCTAATCAGCAGACAGTTTTGGTAAATAATTCATAGCAGCCGATTTACTTCCCGGAACATTTCCTGGTACCTATTAAAGGCCTAGGAGCCTAAGATAATATTAACACTCACAGTTCTCAAACTATCATTCAGGTATTTTAGGAAATTAACAGGCAGATTAGCTGGTACTGCACCACTGACAGGCTAGATGTGGTCAAGGCCGTTTGGGAGCAAGTGAACAGTGCCGAAGTACACAAAAAAAGATCACTGTCTGAAGAGAATGGTGCGGTGGGAGTGACCACAGGATGTGGCTGACATTCCATCCTCAGATTTAAGCATGACAACAAACATACAATCTGACTGTTACTGATATCAAGTGAACTAGAACTCTTCACTGGCTGCTGAATATGGGAGCGGAGTGCTTATGGAGTGCTGTCCTATTTGTTTTTAACTCAGCTCAACTCTAAAACAGACTTGCAAATAAATCCATCTTAGCTAAAATATGTTACCCATCTTCATAATCCTGTGCTCTGCCAACTGGTACGCATTAATTCATGAGCGGATTTTTTTTCCATACCTTAATTACCCTATCAAGAATCATTTCTCACTCTCTTTCTATCTCTTTTTTCCATAATTCTTTCCTGTTGTTAACAATCTCTTCCAGTTTCCTCTTCTCATTTTATACTAAATCTATCTATTTTTCTTCTTCTTAGCAACCACCAGCTGTAAACTCTGGCAGAAAGTTCTGGTTATCCAACTATGTCTGGATACCCGTCTTGTCTAGAACTTGAGATTTTGTATATATCCGCTTTACAGATCTGGCCTAGTGACCCACAGCTGGCAGGGAAGCACCTAGCTACTGCACTGCTGTGGCTCACTACCTATCTTTGACTACATTCACCATGGGGGGAGGGAGTAATCTTACCTGCACCAGACCAACAAATGTGGGACAGGCCCTGGTAAAAGACTGAAGAAGTAGTAAGCATAGCGAATAACCTCGGCGATCGTCCAAGCCGACAACCATAAAATTACTGACACTCCATTCTGCGTCTGTAAAATATACAATAATTAAATTTAACAAGCGACTTGAATTAGCAAAAGCTGAAACAAGTGAATCCAATTTACAGGATGGGTCAGTAATATGGCTACATGTTTCATGTCAAACAGTATGCTACTTTACATCATACTGGGAAATGGTGTATGACATACACAACTTGAAAATGTGTTTCTTCTTCTTGTTCATCAGCAATAATCTCCAGCAGAAAGTTCTAGTGGTTGGTCCACCTCTGAACTTTGGTCTTGTCCTCAAACTTGCACATCAGTTTTACAGATCTGGCTTATTTCTATGCAAGCTGTTGATTCCTTGCCTCTCAGACAGAGGCACTCTGACATCAAAGAAAATAACCTTAATTAGTCGCCTCTCACCCCAGATAGAACCACAGAGCCCACATGGGAAGTAGCTGTTTATTTAAGGCAAGAATCCCATGCCTGAGTTTATAACATTGCCAAGATGCTGCTGAAAATACATCAGCCAGTTACTCTTGCAGCATGGACAACTGAGCACCAGAATGATTATGAGGCTGTGAAACTGATGAGATGTGATTTTAACGCAATGTTGTTGTTAATGTGAGAAAGTGGAGACAGTGATAGCCGACACAGAAAGAGTTGTCTTTCTTCTTCTTTGTGTTTACCAGCTGTGAACTCCGGCTGAAGTGCTGGCTATTCGTCCATTTTAAATTGATTTTCCAGGGGTCTCATTTCCGTAGCCTTGATAGTATCATGTGATTCGATATGAAGCCATGTTTCTGACTCACCCTGTACTGTTCATAATGCTGCACTCAAATTTCTACTTCTTCTTCACTGACCCATGGACGTGACTGTGTTGCGTCTGTTTACAGCAACGCTGCGATATTCGTGCCTTTTGATCGCCATATCCGACTTCATCAAGCATTTGTTGACCAGGTTAACTCCCCAGATAGTTTGTGTGACCAGATGTACACTGATGGGATTAAACAAGGTCTATGTTGTTCAGAAAGTGCACTAACTCCCATGCCGTCATACACTACTCTTAACAAACAAACACAACAAACAAACAAGTAAAGAACCCTTTCCATGCGAGTGGCAAACTGAGTATATGATGCCAGACTCATTGCCACAGACTTATCAGTCTTCGAAAGGTGATGCGGTCAACATCCCATGGGCCTCCTTTACTTCCCAGGACTTTATCTGGTACCCGTTTTACAAACTACTGTGCCATCATCTTAATAGTAGTAATGAAGACTGGACTTAGGAACATTTTTATTTAGAGTAAATGCACATTTTAACTGTCTGTGTGTTACTATACAGGGAACAATGATAGTAACACTGTAATCCATGACGAATATTACAAGAGACGACAAATGAAGATTGGCTTGAGACTGGCTACCTCCTCCTACACCACCTCTTAGCATTCACCGGCTGTAAACTCTGGCAGAAAGTCCTGTCATTTGTCTGCTTCTAGACTTTGGCATTGTTCCTAAACTTGAAATGTGCAAGCACATTTGTTTTACAGATCTGACTCATTTGTATGCAGACTGTTGGTTCTTCGCCTTTCTGACAGATGATGTACTCCAACTTCAAAGGAAAACCTCTAACTGGTCACTGTTACAACACGCCTGTTAGGGAGCAGTGTGTGTATTCCCCCCCCCCCCCCCCCCCCCCCCCAAATAGGGCCCCAGATACCTATGTGGAGAGTGGCTACCTAAAACTAGAAAATTTCAGCTGCAAAATCTAAACAAATACGAACAAGTCTACAATGGGTACTGTATGGGTTTGGCTGAAGGCCCATGCTCCATCAAGAGATGAAATGTAGGACAGGAAAATGAAAATAAATTCACAAAAACACTCACTGCAGGGACGCTCCATACAACACCCCATAAAAGGAAGACTCGAGAGTACACTTGGAAAGCAGTGATAATCCAGTTAGACTTGACCAAACCGGCCATACTGTGGATAATCTGAGGAATTCAAAAAAAAAAAAAGTATTCAAAATCTGTATGAAGAAAACCCACAATGTGCTGATTAGTCATGCTGACAGTACCTTTTTCATCTGTGTTCACCCTTATAAGAAACAGCAGGCACACATTTTTTGGGTGTGGTTTACAGCTAGGCTGCGATCAACCTTTCAGCCCAATATATTTGATTTCTGCAAACCCCTTTTTAGTCAACTTTTACAACATATTTGTGGGATGCTGTGGTCTTCAGCCACATGTGATGGGATCGAAGTTCAAATTCAGAGTGCAACTGCTTAAGGACTGTCATTCTATGTTGCTCGTATAATTATTTGACGCCTAGCCGTTTAAGCTAACCTTACACAATTGCTTTCTTTTGCATTCTGTTAATTTCTCTTTTCCACCTCCGCTACTATTATGTCACACTGATTTTATTTTCTAATTAAGAAAAGAAAAAAAACGGTTTTTATCATTTACCTGTATGTATTTCTTTTGTGTGTGTGTGTGTGTGAATATATGCCTTCACTTTTTCTTCAGTATTCTTTCTTAGTCCCTGAAATTCATTACTGCAGTATCGCCACCCACTATTTATCTTTGTGGTTGGCATTCACCCCAGCTGGAGATGTCAAGCATTTGTACGTCTGCTTGTAAATTATCTCTCCACAATCTTTTTGGTCTGCCTGAAAGTTTACGCCCATTTAGCTCTTTAGTTCTGCTATTCTCTCTATATGCATAAACACTGCAGTCTTTTACCCTTTTTTTGGTTACTGGTACCATCGGAATTAGAGCTCTTCATTTGCCGCTGAAGACGGGAACAGAGCATTTATGGGAGTATCCAGAGTGCTATGATGTTGATTCTTAATTCAACAATAGTCTTTTAGCCCTCATAATGCCAGTAATTAGTGGTGATTTAAACAACTTATGAATTTCATTAGCACTTCTCTTTCCCCAATCTCCGCTGTTACATCTTTGAAAAGTATCGAGATTTGCCGTAAGCAGTTTTTATTTTTAAAAATCGGCTTTCCAGTTTTTTTTAATTAACTGAAATTGTTAAATTTTCCTGGCAATATTTTTACGGCTTTCAAACATAACATATAAAGTGTTCAGACATTGGAAACACAGCAATGTGTCCGTGCAACTTGGCACCTGAAAATTCACATGTACTACAACACTATTCTGCTCATAAAGAGGTCAACTGACCAGTGCCAACCTCAATCAAAACATAGCTGTATGGTACACAGGAAGATTTAGACTGCATGATAGCTTTCATAAAGGCCACCTGAATACAAATTGGTCAGATCTGTCAAACAGATGCACACGCAACACTCAAGTTCTGGAACAGGACTGCAGTCCAGAAGTGGACGAACAACCAGAACTTTCTGCCAGAGTTTACAGCTGGTGAGCGCGAAGAAGAAGAAGATAAAGGATACCGGCCTCCTGATATAGGGTTTTCTGACAGAGGGATCAAAAAAATAAATTACAGTAAAGATTTCACTTAAAAGAAATTGTGTGCTGCCTCCACAATAAAGATCTAAAACAGTGCATCTACTTCTGTCTCTGGATCTATTACGTGGTGAGGCCCCAATGTAGGTAGGTAGTTGTACCCCACCAGGACATAACACCAGGTGACACAAAGGCGTAGGGTATTGAAACTTTCGGAGGCCCATTAGGAATGGTTGCTACACATGAAAAAAAAAAAGTTATGCAAATATGTCACATGATCATGGTGGCCATCTTGGATTTATTTGGCTATTTATAGAAATTTCAGGATCTGTTTTAAAACCACCATCTTTTTCCACTTTTTAGTGAATTTATTCAACTTCAATGCAATAAAATGTTGGGGACATGGTTGGCAATGAATAAAATAAGCTTTGTATGAGTACTTTTTTAACGATTAACCAAATATTTCAACATTAAAATGAAACAAAAATTAAATAAACTAAAAAGAATTTTGTTTTCTTTCTTGAGTGTATTGTGGTTATGTGGCATGTTACAATGAGGATTTGTGAATGTTTGATTACAAAAACACCTCTAACCTCTAGCTAAAGTCTGAGCTACTTCATTCATTCACTGAAGTTGAAGCTGTAGTTGTGAACTCTGCAAGAGTCTTTGTTGGGAACGTTGATAATCCTCAACTGTATGGTATAGCTTGAAACAGGTTGTCAAGCATAGAGGTGTATTGCAATCTGGGCAGTACATGCAAGTCTGGCTTCTTTTACCTGCAGCCTTACACACTTTACAATCTGGTTTGTACTTTGGCTTTTCATATTTTTCAATAAAATGGAGTTCGGTAAGTCGTGATGTTGTGACTTGTGGTCTTGAAGGTATTACGTTGTGCCGAAGAACAGCAGGTCCGATAAGAGCAAGACTGACATCCTATCTGAACTTCTTTGCTGTTATCTTTTTTGTAGAGTTGACAGTGTTGTAGCTTATATGCCCATTCACCAGATCAGTTTCCACTAAAAAATGATACAATGGCAGGTACCATTTATAGGATCTGTGTGGGTATGGGTAGTTTGCAGCAAGTTGGCCGAAGTGATTGACACCACCCATACTTTTGTTGTATTTTTCAGCCAGAACAGGCTTGTTGATAATTCTTCCCTCAGCAGGAGCTCCCCTTTTTCTAACTGACATCATTTGAGTGAACACAGTAGAAATTAGGTTACAGGTCTGGGTTTCATCATCAGACATGATGAAAAGGCTGAATATGCACTTGACACAAAAATTAACAAAATGTCACTGAAAAAAAAACGCTTGTAATGACTCTAATCAATATGAATCAAAAGTACAGCCATCTTGGAACAATAAGAATACTCGAATACAGTTTAATTCAAAAACTATTGGTAGGGACATCAGTCGGCAGACTACAAGTCGCGAATTCCTCGATCGTTGAAGTTGGTCTCCATGGGATATGGCCGGAAATTCATCGATCATCGAAGTTGGTCAGCAAAGGATTAAAATAGCTTAAAACTGCATCCCACAAAGGGATGACGAGTTGGAGAAGTGTTTTCAAAAATCGCCCATGGCAGAAATCAAACCTTGGTGCACTGAGGATTATCTATATTATAAATCACAAACACTTTCTGTAATTTGTGGAGCCATACTAAAAATGTTACAAGGGGTATAGAGAGAGTGGAAGATCTCTGAAAATATGGAGTGATGGCATTAAGAACAGCCTTACAGAAAGTAGTAGTAAATTTTACCCCACTAGGACATCACACAAGCGATAAACACTGATAACACAAAGTGCCACCATGCGGATGAGTGAAGCTATGAAATGCACCGACTAACTAAAAAAATAACCAAAGAATTCTTAGGGATCGTTGCTGGAACTCATGCTGTGAGCAGCAATTGCAACACATGGTTAGCTGTTCTACAGAGAGAGAGGCCGAGCCGCATGGGATAAAACCTGGTGCAATGAAACAGATCCTTTCAAATTTAACTTCAAGACTAACTAAAACAAGTAAGCAAAGGTTTACCTCCAGAACAGCAGCAGTCTGGCATACTTGAAGAATTGGTTCTACCTCCCTGTACACCAATACAACAGTGTTCTTTGTCAGCACATAGTTGATCACAATAAACAAGATGGCAGACCAACTAGAATATAACAAACAGGTATGATTTGTAATTAATTACACAGCGGTCAAACTAAGACACCAAAAAATCATTCAATTAACTTAATTTTTGTTTAATCATTGGCTTTAAACTCCGATGGAAATTCTGGTTGTTCACCAATGTCTGAACTTTAGTCGTGTTCAATAACTTGAGCTCTGTATGCACATTAATTTTACACACCTAGCTTATTTGTAAGGCTGTTAGTTCCTCGTCTCTCAGGCAGACGAACTCCGACTTCAAAGAAAGCTTCCATAATTACTTTACTTTTATGACATGCTTGTTGGGGGCAGTGCATCGATTTTTTTTTGTTTGCCCCCACAATACAATAGGCCCTAGAACCCACACAGGGAAGCTTCTTTTAAAAATATGTTCTTTTTTTTTTTAAAGTTATAAACTATTATGCATAACAGTAGTTCTGTGGTTTCTTCTTCCCCGCCCAAATACCTAGCTTGATTTTTGTTCAGGATGCTCGTCTAAAAAATCTGAACCCAAAAATTTAAAAATTAGAAACCATATCTAAAATGAATTAACAGAAAAATAAAGTCTTGAGACTCACGACAATGTTGAAAAAAAAATTAAATAAAAAAAAAAAAAAAACATGACAAAAGACAATGAAGTTCATTCTAGAGAAAGCCTTGCAGATACAGATCATTTATTTCAAGTGAATGAAAGAAGAAGAAGAAATCAGAAAAAATTTACATTATTTGTATATCTTCTTCTTTTGTCAATATCCGCTTATTCTGCTAGGAGTCGCAGTTTATCAGATGATTAGCAGCCGAGCCAGGGCGCGCTCGGTCGCTTGATATGCTGTGATGTTATGCAATCTCAAGGTGACAATGATTCCTTCTTCTTTTGTTCACTTTAAATAAATTACCTATATCTGCAATGTTGTCTCTAGTATAAACTTCACTGTCTTTTGTAATTCACTAAGCGAGCCGTAAAGTTTGACTTGCACAGATGTTTCTCTTAGCCCAAAGTTTTGCCTTGATATGTTGTATTTGGGACAGTCTTGGAGGACTTGATTGTGATTTCTTCAATCCATCTTCTTCTCGGTCTTTCTCAATAAATCTGACGATGTGTGTTGTTCCAAATGTTCTCGTGATCACGTTGTTTCTCACTTGACCTCTTCTGGTTTTATTCACAGCCATTCTCAAACATCTCATCTCACAGATGGTAAGTTTTTTTCTTGTGTTCTTTTCTCAATGTCCAAGTCTGACATTGGTAACCTAAAGTCTGTATAAATATTGTATTTATAATTTGTCTTGTTGTCTCTATTTGGATAGCAGGTGTTTTAAAATTACAGCAAGTTGTACGTGACATTGTTGGTTTTCTGCATTCTTATTTCTATCTCTCTGTATATTTTACCACTGAATGTAAAGATGCTTCCCAAGTATTTAAATTCTTGCACTTGTTTTAGACTTTGATCTTCATGTCGATGGCTTTTTGCTCTCTACTTATTCTCATGACTTCTGTTTGGTTTTTTTCAACAATGATCATCATGTGATGTTTGAGGCAACTGCCATGTAGCTGATTTATGTGGTCCTGTAGCTGTTTACTTTCACTGTGAAATATGCACTGATCATCAGCAAACAGCAGCTCATTGAAGTCTTCCTGTTAATCAACATCTGGTGGTGTTATGTCTGTTTTATTAATACTGTCCATGAATATTATAAAAAGTGAAAGAATACATTCTTGCCTTACTCCTGATGTTACTTTGGACCAGTCTGTGAGGCCAGCCAGCTGCAGACAATTTTGTTGGTTGGGTTTGAAGTTTGACAGCAGACCCCTTTGCCTTTGCTTTGATTTCCTCGAGTATCAGTAAGCGTCGACCGTTTAGTAGCAACAGCAAACTACTGAACGCAAAACTGCCCGGTAAAACCACGGAGAGCTAACAAATTATGGAGCTGAGATGCCATGTAAAGAATCCAATATAAATGCAACAAACTACATACAGTTCAATCATCATCAAGAGGCGCAACCCCGGATTCGGCCATAGAAGTAAGTCCGAGAGCTGGGTCACACCCCATTCTAAATATCCAGTTTACTAAATAAGAATAATTAATATTATATTCTGTAAAGAGCGAATCGTCTTACCCCAACATCTGACTAACATTGTAAGCAACTAAATAAGCTTTCGTAAGACTATTTTCAGCTTTTCCTTCGCTGTACACCGGTCGTGAAGGACGTGCGGATGACGCCATTTTGCCTGCTTCGTTTTCATCCCACGGTAAATGTAAAACTGTGAGCAGGAATACGCTTGAGGGTGGGAATGCATGACTTAATGGACAACAATGATTCATGCTACACCGGGGGTTATAGCTGCCTTCAGCGGTCGATCAGCTCAAACTGTTTCATACAAGCGAAACATTAGTCATTATGTCAGGTTGAAGCGACGCATTTCTGTCCTTCACCTTCTTATTCATCTCCTTCTTCTGACTTTCATCTCTCAATTAGAACATCTACCAGCTCATGCTGTTTTTGTTTTACCACTACAATAAACAGTACAATTCCAGTACTAACCTATGGATGCGAGAGCTGGAAATCAACGAAAACTCTAGACACAAAATTAGACAGTTTTGAAAATTAATGCCTTAGAAGAATACTAAATTTCAAATGGTCAGATTTCCGAACCAATACACAAATAAGGCAAGAACCTAGGCAAGAGTATGTGTCTAATTTTATACGAAAACGCCGCTGGAACTATATCGGCCACGCCCTTAGAATGGATAAATCAAGACTTCCTTACCAAGCCCTCATTTGGACACCACAGGGGAAAAGATCTCGTGGAAGACCAAGGGAAACCCTACGTAGAACTATCATCAGGGAAGGCTCACTGATGAGCCACTCAAACATCTAAGACCTACAACAGATTGCAACGAACCGCCATGCATGGAGTGTCATGACCTCTGCCCTATGTGCCGCACTCGACACAAGAGGAAAGACTAACTAACTAACTACAATAAACTATGTTCTGGTTCTTGCTGTTCGGATTGCCTCGACCATAGACACTTTGTAATGTTGTTTCTCAGATATTAGCTGACTGTTTTCTTAGTCTAATTTGGGCTCTATGCTTTCTCCTCTTTTTTTTTTTTTTTTTTGCAAGATAAAATGACTTAGAAGAGCTTCAGGAAGTTAGTTAGTTAGTTAGTTAGTTAGTTAGTTAGTTAGTTAGTTAGTTAGTTAGTTAGTTAGTTAGTTAGTTAGTTAGTTAGTTGGGTTATCATCATTGCACTCCGGACATGTCCACGGGTGCACAGATTCTCCCCTAAGTATGAACCACAACGTCCGATGGCTAATAGTACCAGTTCTATGTTGATTAACAAGTCGTCTGGTGTGCGTCTCGTTTTTTGCTACGCCGATCTTAATTCCCAAGTCTGCCATTCTGGCGAGCGATGTGGATTCACTGACACCAAAGTCATCTGTCCTTCCCATTTCTCTGAGGGCATAAATAATATCAGAGCTGCAGGAGTTTCAAGCAAACAGATTATGAAATCAGACGAATGCTAGGAAAAAAAGCCAGTCTTACAGGTCATAAAAAATAATAAATAAAGTGGTCTGGACACCTAACAAGAATGCCCTGGCACTATCGACCACAGAGTCACACTAAAATGTTACAACGGGTAAAGAGCGAAGGTAAGACCTCGGAAAACATGGAGTGATGGCATTAAGAACAGCCTTACAGAAATGAACATCAATCGTAATAGTGCAGAGCTCATCAACGAACGTTACATCCCCCGCCGCCGCCGCCCCCCCCCCCCCCTACGAATGCTAGGAAAAAAAGCCAGTCTTACAGGTCATAAAAAATAATAAATAAAGTGGTCTGGACACCTAACAAGAATGCCCTGGCACTATCGACCACAGAGTCACACTAAAATGTTACAACGGGTAAAGAGCGAAGGTAAGACCTCGGAAAACATGGAGTGATGGCATTAAGAACAGCCTTACAGAAATGAACATCAATCGTAATAGTGCAGAGCTCATCAACGAACGTTACATCCCCCGCCGCCGCCGCCCCCCCCCCTCCCCTCCCCTCCCCTCCCCTCCCCCATCATCCCATCCCCAGACATTTCGCTGAGGTACAAAGCGGAAGAGAAGAAGAAGATGAAGTAAGTTAGTTGGGTTATCATCCTTTTACTCTGGACATGCCCGTAGGTGCTCAGATCTCCCCCTCAGTATGAACTCCAGCGTCCAGTGGCTAATAGTACCAGTTCTATGTTGATTAACAAGTCCTCCGATGTGCCTGGTGTGCGTCTCGTGTTTTGCTATGCCGATCACAATGTATCGCAATCGATATCACTGCACATTGTCACTGCCCTTCAGTGCTCAGTCCTCAGACCCAGTAGCCACCCCTTGGCACCTCTATTGTTAGTTCCCATGAGAATTTCATTAAAATGACTGCTTTATATTTATTTCAAAGAAACCGTATACGTGCTTCGCCGTGGTAGTGTTAAAGATTCTGTCTGTAGTTACGTCAGCAATATTTCCCTTTTCGTGAAGCGAAACTGCAGATTCCGAAAATGGGAAGTGGCATGTTGCTACAGAATTGGTGGTGCCTTATGCAACATTACGTGTGTAACCGATCATTTGTTACAAATGGGTTGGCACTTCTGACAGCTGTGTGTGTGTGCAAATAGCTGCCAGATTGCAGTCTGTTTCAATTTTTTTTTTTTTACAGTAGACAGTAGTGCATTCTCTGTGAACAGATCAATGATGGCTTGACCCGTCAAAATAAACGATAGGCGCGGTCACTGTTTTTAGTAGTGGCAATTTTTTTGTGCTTCTGACAGACGGTTGTCATTGCATTTTCGTCATTTGTAGACTAAAAGGATCTCGTTTTGTCGTCCAGCTACCGAGATCAGTGCATGGCGCGACACTGTGAGCTGCAGTTTTCATTTGGAATGTTTTTCGGCTAGGATCAACGTGGTGTTCTGATGTAGATTCAGAAAATAACGCGTGGCCTGGAATCGATAGTGCCTTATGTGATTAAAATTTATCCCGTGTGCAACGGCTGATCTGTTTGTAACTGCTGCTTCCGTCAATGATGAACTGCATTTTTTAAGTCAGACTGTTCGTGTTAGTACTTCTGATGGCTGCTTTATGCTTTTAATGAGCGTGCATGTTAATGAATATGTGGAGATTGCAGTCTGTGTCTTTTTTTTCCCCTCGCCCACAACGGATAGTGACGGACATTCTGTGTGTTTTTCGTTGTCACGGGAGCAGAGCAACTATGGGGTGACCCTTTTGCTATGATGCTGAAACTAAGATTACGGGGGTCACCCCCGGCCTGTGTTTAGGAGCTATGAATCCCCTGCACATACCTAGACACGACCCGTGTACGACCCCATGTGATCGGTATGCTGTGAAGCTTGATCTGGGGTTAACAGATTCGTTATAGTGTTCTGTTTTATTTTTCGTCTGATGAAGGTTTGTCTACACAATGGAAATAATGTTTGTTTACTGAATTGTGCTCTATAAAGCTGGCATAAACTTGTGTTTTCAAAAATTATTTTTTTCTAACATTCATGGAAGTTAGTCAACAGATTATCCTCAAGGTACATCGAACCATTCAGACTACAAGTTCGTCAATTACCCCTGCAGTAAATCGTATAGCCTCTAAAGACGCCGACTGCGTGTTGGTTTCTTGTTCTACTTTGGCTTCCTGCAAAGTGCTTTTGTTTGGCCATACTCCCCTTTAACTTGCTAGTCTTGCCTGCAGATAGTCATCAATAGGATTTCCCAAGGTGGGCTGCGTGGTCTCGAGGCATGGTTTTTTCACGTGGACTTGGACTTCTAGTAATTCCCCCTGGTCTCTGGGTAGTGAGATCAGACGCCCGTGTTCATTTTTGCGCACGTAAAACATCAGTTGGGCAAAATTTGGGTTAAAAATCTACCCAGAGTATTTCCGGATTATCGCCGATGCCACATAGCCATTGCATTGAGCTGGGCTTCTTCGGACTCAGACTTGAGTTAGAAGAATAACGGAGCACTTATGGGTACGATAATGTTGATCCGTTGTTCAAACTTCAAAATTGCTATTCTTGCAGTCTGGTCATGGTTGCAGATTCGGTCATCGATAGGTTCTCGCAAACGTCATAGGTCCAGGTGTCATCCGCCATCCATACTGGCCCTGCCTACAAGCCTGTTAGCTCATTTCCTTACAAACACGCCTGTCCCGGCGTGAATGAGCGAGTTAGGGCGTTTAAACATGACCTACTTTCCAGCAGACTAAAGTAGGTCAGGGTTTAACCCCACCAGGACAGTACAACGAAGGATAAACATCCTGTGACACGAAGTGTCACTATTCGAGTGAGAATCCCCTAGCTGCAAGTCCAAGAAACCGTGTTCAACCGTAAGGTTATATTAGCGCCCCTGACGACGAGTCCAGGCGGTGTGGCGCTTTAAATAAAGCTGATTTTTGTAAGCCCCGACCGACTCAGAAACACCAAGTACCAACCTCAGTCTTCAGACCCAGCCCATCTCTATATTACTATTTCCGGTAACGTTTATGGAAGAAAACACAAGCTACCGCTGGGTAACGCCAACTCAAGCGACGTCTATGTGCACTGGGGTTTTACGTAGATTATTTTCGAGTCGCAGGCCGGATATTATTAATACACAGACACAGCTGTCACAGTGTTAGCCAGATCGAATACGTTTGTAATTTTGTATGGCTACACGTTTGAGCCGTTATTTTCTTGTCAATACTGCTCGCACGTCTTTAGTAGGCATTCGCCGATTTCTAAGGACTATACATACGCGGGTACTGTTTTGTTGGGGTGGTGTTGTGTGCTAAATGAGTTATCACTAGTCAGCACACTATCAAGTGTCTAGCAGGTACCCTTCAGCTTCCTCTCTTAAGAAATAGAACTCGACGACGATGACACCGTCATACATTTTTATTTAACAGGATACATGACACAAATGCAGAGACGTAGTTATGGATTACAGCTGATACTCGCACATCGTCCATTTGTCCTCACTCGCGCGCTCTCTCTCTCTCTCTCTTGCAATTTGTAGCGACCTCTCCTTGACTACTACAGCTCCAAGGACTACAGCGTCTCACACGCTGGACGCGCCGTACAGCTCAACAGGACGAATTCTCCCATTGCCTGGACCTTGATATTATTTCAGCATATAACACGGCTGACTGGAGACTGACTATCCTGACCGTACTCCGAAAACACACAGCTGTCGTCAGCTT